GTTTTGTCCTGCATGACAAATTCTGTCCGGTCTGTTTTTGAAAAGTTTGAGAGATTATTTCCTATCTGAACAAGCAAAGTCGATGTTAATACCTCTTTATAAGCAAGAAAAGAAAAAGAAACCAAGACAAAAATTGTTCTTGGTGACTTAAAAACTACCTTATGATGGGTCAAATCATCGCCGCCGGAGCAGCATCTTCTTTTAGAGATAACCTGAGGCATTGTTGATCATTGTTAGAAAAAGTTCTTACCACACTCCGACGCTCTGACGTCATTGAGTGATCTTCATTTGGCAAAGCGGATTTTTTTTGTTTTATTAATTTGTTTAATGAAACAGTCTGATAAATTCACAATAAGTGCTCTTATTATCCAACTGTGCTTCGCAGAGTACAAATAACGCGCGAAACGAGTACAAATATCACGCGATATCAGAAATATCCGCGAAATTCGCCCACACTGAAATAACAATTTGGCGCGTTGGATAATAAATTTCTTATTAGACGTTTTGTTGCGTAGTATCGCTAAGTATTTTGACGAGCCCTACGGGCTCGTCAAAACGGGCTCGTCAAAATACGGCGCAACTAGTAAAAATACTAAGTGATACTATACGACAAAACGTCTAATAAGATATTTACTCTACAACCATAAGAAATTGAAGTATGAATTGCTGTCACTAACTCACTGTGTGACTTCAGCTCGTTATCGTGTTGTGAGTGAGAAGGGACTGGGATGTACGGTGTACTTATCACTTTGTCACTTGAATCAGAAGGCTGTGTACCATTGAACATTTCTAACATTGGAATACTTAATAAAGTTCTACACAAAAAAAAACAAAGATTTCATCTAAGAAGCCGACGCTACCCATAGTCTCAGGCTGATCTCTGAAAGGAGGGGGGAGTTGGGGAGGTATTTCAGATGGGGAAGGGAGGACAGATGGCTTTTTTACAGTTTCCTAATTCCTCGAAGGTGCACGCTTTGTGGATGAAACAATAGCCCCATTGTGGTTTCTCTATTTTCTTCGGTTGCAGTTAGATCTTCTGAGATAAGGGATTTTTTGGGGGGGAGGGGGAGCTAAGCAAATGTTAGTCTGATAATTGTGCAGCAGCTTCTTTATTGATCAGTTTCGAAATTCGGATAAGTCACGCAATCATGTTCACAAAATCGACAAAACATGTGATGTGGACAAATTACTAGATGATGAAATAACATTAACAGATAAGGAGTTGTGTAATTACAGCATTTCAATATATTTAAGTTACGACTGAAGTCTAAAAGAGAATTTCTCCAAGGTTACTTTTGGAATTGTCTATACTAACTGATGAGTCATGAACTCCGCTAACTATATTTATTACACGACTCGGGCAGTCAGAGGGCCAATAACTAAAATCAACCAATCAAAATGCTCTATTTCCGGTCCAATATTCTCTAAGTATTGGACCGGGCACTGTCCCGAATGGTCCCGAATGATACCGCACTTGTGTCCCTTTTGAACTTTAGTCATATAATAAATCTCTAATTAACCAAGCTTGCTCGGGACCGTACTGGAAAAATATCGGCCCTCGGTCTTTTTTGTACGGACCTCGCTGCGCTCGGTCTGTGCTGTCAAGACCTCGGGCCGATATTCTCCCAGTACGGCCCTTGCGCTTGGTTAATAAGATAATTATATATAACTAAGGGTTTTCCTTTCAAGCCTGAATTCACGTTGGTTACGACGCGCAAGTCACGATAAGCACGTGTTCACAGTAGTTTCGTAAAATGTACCGCTGACCACAATGTACTCTTGTCATGTTCCCTAAATAACAGTTGGTCTTTCGTTTGGCTACGACAATTAAATGCAGGTAGATTTAGTGTCCTGATGCTTTGCATCTTATCGAGATGACCACTTTTAGAAGACTGAAGGGCTATGTGTGAGATTCGAGGGTGGAAACACTTTGACTTGGCCGTCGTGAAATGACAGAATTTGATTTAGAAGATGAGCCTTTAGGAAGCGAAGCAACCGGCGGATTTTCTGACAAGTACGAAGTTAAAGAAAAATTGGGCGCGTAAGTGGACATTTCTTAGCTTTAATTTAAGGTGGATGTCTTCAAGAAAAAGCCCATATTTTTATGTGATGGTAGTTTGGGTTATTTTTCTAACAGTCAGCATAAATCCTGGCTGGTTGCACGGTGAAGTACTTGCATTCGTACATTTACGTTTGATCTGGAGTAAAACGCCTTTGTAGAAACGCTTTTATTTGCATATACAGTTAGCACTCGAACATAGCCCGCTTAATTTGTTTCAGTAGGACTATTGATTTTTGTCAACACTCAAAACTGATCCACGATACATGAACAGATTTGACAGGAAGCTAGAGTCATGTCGGAATTTCTTGAACACGTATTTTCTCTATCTATTACATCACACTTCATTGTTTGTTTACTGTGATCGTGGAGCGATTGTATGCTTCCCATCATTAACAGTGAAGTTTGGCCGACTTATGTAGCTTCGAAGTATCGTTCTGTACTCATACATGACTTACATTATGCAGAGCAAGCTGTAACCTACCGCTTGATTCGCAGAACAGTGATTTGCGGGATCAAATGTCGCGCGTCACTCGTTCACCTTTCTTTTGATCTTGGTAGAATGTTCTTTTAATTATTATGGTCGAAATAAAGTGCGATGCACATTCACTTTGGAACTATAGCTAGAACTCCCCTGAGAGCTTTACTCGTAGGTTTCGTAATCAGTACGTCGTTGGCTTAGTTGGTCATACTTAACATGTGTATTTCCTGCCCAATCACGTTTATGATCACTAAAAAATCAAATCTGAATTATAATCGTTAATGTCAGTTTGTACTCCAAAGTGTGGTACATCTTGAAACAAAATTTCAAGGCTGTAACCCTCATAGTGCAGAGTTAACTGAGGCATTTTGAAGTTACATACTATCTCAAGGATTTCCAGCCCTGAGTAAAGCCCTGACTGAACTATGTTAAATTATGATACTTTTTTACATGAGTTTTAAATTGCCAATGAGCTGCTGACATGTGACTTTGCCTTTCACATCACTCATCAGGTTGATGAATGAATGGCAAAACCTTCGCCATTCTCAATCCAAGGTCATTTTTCACAATTAAAAGCCTATGGTGTACATATGGTGTATGAACAAATCAAACATGGTTTCTCGTAGATATGTAATTTCTCTTTTCCTGTTCACCTCGATTTCTCTCTTGCTTGGAGTTAATCGCTTGAAGAGAAAGTCATCATGTGTGCACACTCGTGTTATCCTCTGTTCTTTACAAAAGTCCTCATATATAAATCAAGCTTATTTTTATTTATCAATAGAGGAATTTCTAGTGTGGTACGAAGATGTATCCACAAGATCACTGGAAAACCATATGCTGTGAAAATAATAGACAAGCTAAGTGATGCTGGAGGTGTGGACATTGAGGCAACAACATGGGATGAAGTCAGTGTTCTGCTTGCTTTGCAAGGACATGAAAATATAAGTAAGGGGCCATTGTTCAACAATCCTTTTTTGTTTAGTTGCTATAGCCCATTTTTGACATGACAAAGACGATATCTTGCAAAATTATTAAGTAAACTTTAGTTTTGGTCCAAAAACATAAAGAAGATAGTGAAGTTTGTCCATAAGCATTAGATGTGTTTTTACAATACATGTGTAACAAAATTGTTCTATGATATCTTAAAATGTAAATACCGTATATCTTATCTTATCTCCCGTTATCTTATCAGTATATTAAACAACAAACATATATGAAATACATATATATGAACTGCGGTTATGAAACGTATATGTGCACGATCCTTTGCAGTAAAGCACTATTTAAGCAATAGTGAAAATCAGACCTGAAAAAAATTCAGGCCTGTACGGGATTCGAACCACTGACCTCTGCGATACTAGTGCAGCGCTCTACCAATTGAGCTAACAAGCCAACTGGGAGCAGGCCATCAAATTAATTCGACATAAACCCGTAGATGATAAATCAAACAACAAACATATGAAATACATATATATGAACTGCGGTTATGAAACGTATATGTGCACGATCCTTCGCAGTAAAGCACTATTTAAGCAATAGTGAAAATCAGACCTGAAAAAAATTCAGGCCTGTACGGGATTCGAACCACTGACCTCTGCGATACTAGTGCAGCGCTCTACCAATTGAGCTAACAAGCCAACTGGGAGCAGGCCATCAAATTAATTCGACATAAACCCGTAGATGATAAATCAAACAACAAACATATGAAATACATATATATGAACTGCGGTTATGAAACGTATATGTGCACGATCCTTCGCAGTAAAGCACTATTTAAGCAATAGTGAAAATCAGACCTGAAAAAAATTCAGGCCTGTACGGGATTCGAACCACTGACCTCTGCGATACTAGTGCAGCGCTCTACCAATTGAGCTAACAAGCCAACTGGGAGCAGGCCATCAAATTAATTCGACATAAACCCGTAGATGATAAATCAAACAACAAACATATGAAATACATATATATGAACTGCGGTTATGAAACGTATATGTGCACGATCCTTTGCAGTAAAGCACTATTTAAGCAATAGTGAAAATCAGACCTGAAAAAAATTCAGGCCTGTACGGGATTCGAACCACTGACCTCTGCGATACTAGTGCAGCGCTCTACCAATTGAGCTAACAAGCCAACTGGGAGCAGGCCATCAAATTAATTCGACATAAACCCGTAGATGATAAATCAAACAACAAACATATGAAATACATATATATGAACTGCGGTTATGAAACGTATATGTGCACGATCCTTCGCAGTAAAGCACTATTTAAGCAATAGTGAAAATCAGACCTGAAAAAAATTCAGGCCTGTACGGGATTCGAACCACTGACCTCTGCGATACTAGTGCAGCGCTCTACCAATTGAGCTAACAAGCCAACTGGGAGCAGGCCATCAAATTAATTCGACATAAACCCGTAGATGATAAATCAAACAACAAACATATGAAATACATATATATGAACTGCGGTTATGAAACGTATATGTGCACGATCCTTCGCAACATATGTTTCATATGTTTGTTGTTGTTTGATTTATCATCTACGGGTTTATGTCGAATTAATTTGATGGCCTGCTCCCAGTTGGCTTGTTAGCTCAATTGGTAGAGCGCTGCACTAGTATCGCAGAGGTCAGTGGTTCGAATCCCGTACAGGCCTGAATTTTTTTCAGGTCTGATTTTCACTATTGCTTAAATAGTGCTTTACTGCGAAGGATCGTGCACATATACGTTTCATAACCGCAGTTCATATATATGTATTTCATATGTTTGTTGTTTGATTTATCATCTACGGGTTTATGTCGAATTAATTTGATGGCCTGCTCCCAGTTGGCTTGTTAGCTCAATTGGTAGAGCGCTGCACTAGTATCGCAGAGGTCAGTGGTTCGAATCCCGTACAGGCCTGAATTTTTTTCAGGTCTGATTTTCACTATTGCTTAAATAGTGCTTTACTGCGAAGGATCGTGCACATATACGTTTCATAACCGCAGTTCATATATATGTATTTCATATGTTTGTTGTTTGATTTATCATCTACGGGTTTATGTCGAATTAATTTGATGGCCTGCTCCCAGTTGGCTTGTTAGCTCAATTGGTAGAGCGCTGCACTAGTATCGCAGAGGTCAGTGGTTCGAATCCCGTACAGGCCTGAATTTTTTTCAGGTCTGATTTTCACTATTGCTTAAATAGTGCTTTACTACGAAGGATCGTGCACATATACCTTATCAGTATATTATTTTATATTTGCCTCTCAACAGTTGGCTTGGTTGATGTCTTTGAGTCCCCTGTGTTTTTTTTCTTGGTGTTTGAACTGTAAGTAAAAATTTTCTATTTTACCGAAGTTCTTTGGCTATCTACCACATGTTTTGTTTGCTATCTTACCATGAGTTTGCACACATTAAAACAAAGAAACTTATTACCAGTCTTCATGTTATTAAAGTCTTTAGCCTATGAGTTTAATTTTGGTTAAGAATAATTATTACCAGCGTACAAACTTACATTGTAAATTAGAGAGCTTTTTGATGGAGTGTCCTCAAACCAAAGCCAAAGAAATCACAGTTGCTGGTTAGACCAAAAAAAAAGACACTAAGAGGTGAAGATGACCAAGTTGGTTTTGGTCTTAGATTTCTGTCTGATTGGTTGGGTACATAGCACAAGTCCTGTTGATATATTGCAGAGTTTATCATTGGAAAATCAATTGAATCCCAGAGGGCAGTCTGTGTATATTTGTGCTAATATGAACAACATTTATTTCCACCATGTTTAGCTCTAATTCATATCATTCAAAATCATTTTTTAAATACATTTTTAGACAATTGTTTTATAAGGTCTTGTGGTTTCTAGGCTGAAAATGAATTTGGCAAATTATGACTCATGATAGAATAAGTTCGTTCACAGTTGTGAATTTCTAAATAAATGTTTTTATTATTACTCACAAAACAGGGCTGTAAAGGGAGAACTGTTTGATCATCTCACAAACCAAGTTACATTATCTGAGAAGAAAACCAGGTGTTTATATTCATTTCTTTTTCTTTTTCCTCCCACAATATATACATTGCTCTACATCTATGTATTCAGCACTGTTTTATGAAAGTAAAAATTTTACACTTTATCAATATAGTTATATATTTATATATATATACCCACAAAATATGTAGAGAAACACTTGAATGAATAGATAAGTAAATGAGTGTACATGTAGTAAGCAAAAGCAAGTAGATATCTGAAAGTATTAGGAAAAATGAAATGGAATGTTAGACACACATATATAAGGAAGAGGATAAGGATGAGTGGAAGAAAACTTACAGCCATATGGAAGGTTGCACAATGAATCCTGCAGATACCTCTCCAATAGATATAAAAATCAATGTTATGAGCAATACTTCTTCATCTTGTAAGAGATAATAAAATGTCAGAATTTTGAAGTATTTACTACATATTAAGTAAATGTATACAGAAGTAGTGACTTTTATGTTACATTTTAGACGTATCATGCATGAGGTATTCGAAGCTGTTAAGTTCATGCATGATCAGGACATTGTACACAGAGATTTAAAGGTGAGTTCAAATGCCTGTGGGAATTATGCCTCTGTATACTCTGTTTATGGCTGATCTATGTGCAGACCAAGTTGTGTAGGATCAGAATTGTGGACATGTTACTGTTTATTTCTGGGACGGATCCAGGATTTAGTCAAGGGGGTTTCGGAGAATTGTTTCCCTTCTGAGGGGTTCAAGATTTTGAAAATTAGGTCTTCGGAAACATGATTTCCAGCGTTCTGAGGGAAAATTTAGGGGGTTCGACCAAACCACTTGAACCCCCCCTGGATCCGCCATAGTATTTCGCTTTAGGAAGGTTGATGTGCATACATGTACATTTTGTTTCCTCGTACTTGGGATGGTAGGTGCCATGGTAACATGACGATATATACATGTATTTGTCTTTTCATAGTAAGCTTTCCTAAAGTATAATTTGAATTAACTCACTTATTTAAATTAAATTGAGTACTGGTAAAAACAAAATGATAATGTTCATTTCCCTTTTTATGTGTACATGTGTATTTGAAAGCAGTATTTTTGGCAATTTTTTTTGCAGCCTGAAAACATCCTTCTTGATGAAGACTACAGAGTTAAGATATCAGATTTTGGCTTTGCAGTGAAGCTGAAAGAAGGGGAAAAGCTCAGAGGTAGTCTGAAATGAAGCTTGCATTCACAGTTTCTAGAAACGGCTCAAACTCTATTATTTTGTTACAAGAGTGCCCCCCCCCTCCCATCACTTTTGTGACTTGGTAAACATGTCCCTGTTTGTCTGATTTTGAAGGCAGAAAATACAATTTTTAAGTGAGAAACTGTGTGCAGGTATCATTTATGTGTCAAACTGCCATCTTCAGATTCACTGTAGCAAGTTGTTTTAGCCATAACCTGTTCACTTGTTGTACATGTACAAGATCTAAGATGTTGACATGATGTGTCTACAGAATTCATGGATTATCACAGTTGTAGATAACTCAGTGCAGAGTTGTTATCTTTTCATTTTATTGGCATTTGTGTTGACATTAGTTTTTGATGTAGCTTGTTTTTTTTCTCCAGAGCTGTGTGGTACACCAGGCTATTTGTCACCTGAAGCACTGCAGTGCTCAATGTTTGGGGATGCTCCAGGTTATTCAAAGGAAGTTGACGTGTGAGATAACATTCTCCCTAAATCTATAATTACACTAACATCGCATTCCCAACTTATCCATACCATACATCAGCCAGCATAATGGCGAGGAAAAGGGACAAACTTATAAGCAATAGAGTTGGACGATACCTTGATATTTCACCAAGTTCTCTTGATTGACTTACAAGAAAATGTGAGGCAGCTAGTAAGGAGAATAAAAAATCCAATCATTGTAGCCTGCAGTGCAGGTGGATTTTGGCGGGGCGAGTGGATATTCCCATCAGTTGTTCGGGGCACCATCTTGAATTAGAAAAACAGTGGAGAGTTGGGGCGAGGTAAAAAGTTTTCCAAACTAGTAGGAGGGAGAGAGAAAAATTGGGGAAGGGGGAGGGGGAGCGGAAAGAAAAATCCTACCCTGATTTCTTTCCCCATCCCCCCACCCACTCTGACATTCTCACATTCTCGCCCCAATTCTCCCAGTCTGCAGAAAATCCAACATGGCGGCTAAACACTTGAAAGATGAAAACCACCAAAACTGCTTGCACTGCAGGCTACAATCATTGAAGGTTAAGGGACTTGTGAGTACATTTTTTACAGTTGAGGGCATTAAGTTGGCTACAAGGTGCATTGTTATTCTCTAACCTACTGTATAATATCTATGAACATGAAAAATGATTGCAGATATGAATGTACAGATATATACAGTATAATTATTTTGTCATATTTTCACTTGAGTTAATCAGGTTTTCTTTTAAATTTCCTCTAATGGTTTTTTTTTTTTTTTTCAGATGGGCATGTGGAGTGATCATGTACACTTTGTAAGTAGTTTCAAGTGAATTATTAATTTTGATGTATCACAGTGATGTGTATCCTGTCAAACAATATGTATTGTATCTATTTCACTTGTAACAGAAATCTCAAAATAACAAAACAGTTAAATTTTGAGGGGAAAGACTTGTAGGTTGAGACAAATTTGATACTTAACATGAACAAAGGCAATATTCTCTCTAACCTAAACATCATTTTGACAGACTTGTGGGTTGCCCTCCTTTCTGGCACCGCCGACAAGTTACAATGTTGAGGTCCATTATGGAAGGAAGATATCATTTTCATAGTCCAGAGTGGGATGACATTTCTGAGTCAGCCAAAGATTTGGTGAGTTTCAGATTTTTTGAAAAAATTATTTTAAGGGAACTCTTTTGCAATATTAATTGTTGTAATTCAAAATTACAGCATCACCACCAAGAAGTAGACTACCAAGTAGAAACTTGGAAACATAGAAACACAAAAAGAGATTAACAATGGTGAAGATAGCAACAAATTGTAAATAGCAAACATGGTTTGTTTTCTTTTCCAGATTTCCAAGCTTCTAGTTGTTCATCCTAAAGGAAGGTTATCTGCAGAGCAAGCTCTAGAACATGCCTGGTTCAAAGGAGCTCAGGTTTGTTATTTACCAGTATCTCCCTAAATATACGGAGTTTCCCTTTCATCATGGACTGAAACGTTACTTATATGTGTAGATTTATTGATTACTTTCTCTGTTATTTATTATTATTGTTAATTGACCTCTAATATATTTATCTGTATCTTTATTTTGAATTTGCAGCAGGCAAAAAATGATGGATTTTCTGCAAAGTGGAAATTTAAGGTGGCTCCAAATTCCTGTTTGATAATTGAACGTTAGAATAATTCATTTTTACATGTAGTAGTCAAGACAGGTTCCTAATAATTATTATGCAGTATTCATATAGAATTCAGCTGTTTAAAAGATACTTGGAGCCAGCCTCCTGTAGGAAAAGTATCCCCGAGAGGAGATGTCGCTTTTATAAAAGTAACAGATAGAACGTTTGTTCCCTCGGGACTGCAGTTTGTGTCCCTTGAATGGAGGGTCCTCGTAAAAGGAGTCGCCACGGTGTATTTTACCATTTATTTGTAGGTCTGTGAATACTTTCCTGATCTCTTTTCAAATTTATTTGTATTCAGGGAACCGTGATTGCCCTTATAGCGGTCAGAGAATTCTCCAAGTTTGCAAAGAATAAACTTCAACCAGTGACATTTGATTCGATTCTTCGTGAGCCTTATGGCGTGAAACCGTTGCGTAAAATGATCGATGGATGTGCATTCAGGATTTATGGTCATTGGGTTAAACGCAATAAGGACGAAAATCAGAACAGGGCTGCGCTATTCGAAAACAAACCTCACAAAGAGAGATACAATGGCAACGGAGATGGACCCAGGAAGAAAAGTAACCTAGACTCGTATAACGCGTCTTTTCGAATGTCATCTGTGGGTTTAATTCAGTACAAATCCATTAGAAAACTCACTCCAAGCAACTAACAGAAAAGCTGCACGGGGAAGTAGTTGATAATTTAAAGTTTGGAAAAAATTGCTCTGTTCAGACTTGGGGCAACTAACGACAATCAGAAGCAAGCAAACACGAGCATTTTCTTTTGCAATGGCCTAGGTTCCTTAAAGATGTTGATATTCACTGGGTACTTTGTAAAGAGTTTTATTTACGGTTGGTGAACAGACACACGAAATACAGTGAACCATGTGAAATAACTCAGGCAGTGGTAAAAGATTGAGACCGCTCTACTGTGTCACAGCCTATCACGAAAATGGAAATGATGTCATTCGAGGAAAACTGGGAGCAGATATTTTTACTTTCGCAGTATTCGGTGGTGACATTACAATGAGGTACCATCTTGTCACTGGAACCCCTCGTCCCCCCAAACGCCCCCCCCCCCGTTAAGCAAGCGTAACAAACAGCATTCCTTCAGCTGCATGGAGCTTCGTTTCAACGGAGTATTATTGCAAATTTCTGTATTTTCAAGTGCTTATAGCCAAGTGTTTCTTTGGCCTAACTTCACCGCATTGTACCAGAAATATAGAAATATAGCCTTAATGATCCATGAAAAAAAGGTTAAAAAAAAGCCAGGCTTAATGCTAACGTTATTGCCCATGTAAGGTATGTATGAACACGAGAGTCTTGTTCAGTCAGGTGTAGAGAGGAAAGAATTTGTTAACTTATTTTATAGTTCCATGAGGTTAATTTAGATTGAAAGAAAGGTTTTAATAAGTAGTTTCTGAGAAATCGACTTTGAAATATAAGCTAGCGCTAAGAAGTCACGACGTTTCGACCTCTCTGAGTGAGCAAGTTTTAAACTTACTCACTTGGAAATGACCTCAGAGTGGTCGAAACGTCGTGACTTCTTAGCGCTAGCTTTTATTTCAAAGAAAGATTTTGTTTGACTTTGTCGCCGGTTTATAGTGTATTTCACCTTGCTCTTAGGTGTGATAATGTACAATAATAACAATTTACTTTATCACAAAATTAAGTTATGAACAAAGGTAGAGTGGAACCACAGAACTGATGGTACGCCATCTATTTTACGCAAAATGCTTTAGTTTGCAATGCCAGTAGCGCGCTGAGGGAATGAAAAAGTGTTGTTGAGATTGAGGAAGTCACGTTTCCTCCATTTGAAAATCGTTGATTTTTCAGAACTTCTTTCCACTGGACAGCCTTGTTTTAATCTCAATCTATTCCTATTTAAATTTGTTTTTATCTGAGAATAAAAGGCTCGGGTTTTATACTTTAGCTAAGTACTATTGATGCAGAACAGAACACAGATGAGACTGAGTGAACTTGATGAGTAGGATTCCAGATCCCACGGCACGTTTATTTACAAGTATTTATTTGCGTGCTTGTTCAAAATGTCAAGATTGACCCTAAAGAGTCATTTATTTAGCAAGTTCTTACGTTGTAATTCAATGCGAATAAAAAGTGGAGAGTAACTGAGCATTCTCTGTGCTAGTTATGGGTACTTTTTCACGCCGAAGTTATTTTACAAGGGGGAGGGGGGGGAGGGGAGGGGAGTGTATATGAGTTGGGGAAGAGAGAAGAGTAAACAAAACTGCCAAAAAGACGTAGGTGTGCTTGATAGTGTGAAGTAGGTGGCGATAAGTGTTCAATTGGCTCTTTTTTAAAAAAAGAAAACGATTGGTTCAGTTTTTTTTGCCTTCGAGAAGTTGTAGAGATGTAGGCCTTTTCGTTCTAAACAATTGGAAGCGAAAGGTGTTCGAATTTTCCTTAGAATATTCGTGAAAGAAGTATCTTCTGGGTTTCGACTTGGGGACGCAGCATATAATAGCATCCTCGTAAATATACTTTGCAGAGTCGAACTCTTTGGATAAAGTAATGGTGACAAAAATGTGGAACTTGAAAGCAAACAGTCATAACATGTCTGACGCACTCGCTACAGACTCGGACCGACTACGTCGAGATACCCCGGGAAAGGGCATGGGTTCGAAGTTGAGAAACGCCGCAAAAGCTCCTGGGACAGCAGTTACATAACGTCAACATGGCGGACAAAACAGAGGATTAAGGTTTCGCCAAATAACAGCTGAAAATTAAGTTAGATACTTGCAATATTGCCATCTTCTTGGTAAAAGCTGCTTTGATAATATTTTTTTCAGAGTTTAAGTTTTTTTTGAATTGCCTAAACCGCTACTCCTCCAAAGGTAGTATGTTTGCCGCAGTCACTCGCTCAACAAGACGGGTTAATGTTACTTGCCATCTGCATTTGGGAATTCAAGGTATCTGTGCCGCCAGGAAAGCATGTTATAGCGATGGAATGAAATTTCACGAAGGACCTCTACAGTTGTACAAGTCATATGTAGGAAGAAAAGTTCTGAAGCCTGATGACTCACAGCTGAAAGTAGTTTGCAATCTTCAAAGCCTTCATGAGCGACTCAAAGATTATGAGTCTCAAAAGCAATCAAGTAAGTCACTTGCTTGAAGTTATGTAGGTTTTATCGTTTGATTACTACAAGCCGAAGGTTATCGGCGGAATGGTTGTCCTTCTTGGTCTTCAATTGTTTGTTGCATGATTCATTTAATTATATGTTACATAACTCTTACAACTGAGTTGGCAGTGACGTATGAAATGGCCCCACAACCTGTCTAGGTTTAGCTTTTGTCGCAACCAAATAGTGATTGCCATCATTACTATTGTTTCCATTGCCTTTGTGGTGGTTGTTATTATTGTTGGCACTGCCTCCTGTAGGAGGCAAAGCCACAGATGTTGTGGCAGTGAGTAAGTGAGGTAGTGAGTGTAACAATAGAATTCTGATCTTGACCCAATTTTGAATCGATGTTTCCTGTTGCTACTTACTGAGTATCTAAGCAGCTCAGCATTCACACTCAATGCACAATTGAGTTCTTTCCTCTTGTGATTTCTGACTCATAGCCACTAGCACATTATGCTTTCAGCTCTTGCCATGAAATTAGGAAAGGGAAAGGCAGCAGAAGAGGATAAGTATCTCAAAATCATTTCAGGATTATGTACGATTTTAAGAACAAAAGTTTTTCTTGCAGAAATATCCTAGTAGGTCAGATCAGTGCATCATGAAACTTTAAGGAGTATATTTTTCTCTTAGGAGAGAGCTTTTTATGTGTTAAATCAGCGAATTATGTGGATCCAAAGGTATAGTCTTTTCAGTTCTAGCCGTGACAGGTCGTAACACTTCAAGGACTTGTTGTGATACTATCAAAGATGACAGAAAGTGGTAAATATCTCGCAATCCTTTCAGGATTGTGCAAAATTTAAAACAGAAGTTTTCTTTGCAGAAACATCTTTATAAGTGTGATTGCTGCATTATAGAACTTAGGGAAATCTTTTCCTTTGAAGAGAGAGCATTTTACCATTTAAATCAGCAAATTGTTTATACCTACAGTTTAGATTAACCTTCAACATATCATTTAGTGTTCCAAGAAGCTTCCTTAATTTTCTAGTAGTTCCAAGAAGAGAAGTTTTTTTTTTGTAAACTGGGTGTACTGAACTGTCCACATCATTACTCCTAAGATTATTTTACAGCCATTATTATTATAATTCCTAAATTTATTGGAATTGTATTTGATATTGTAATTGTTGTTGTTACATTTTTTATCGTCATCACTGTTTTTGTTTCCATTACTGTTATTTAACATTTTACAGTTTTACATAAGTTTTGTTGTTGGGCTTGTATTTTTTGTTGCCAGAAATTACTGTTACCACAAAAATTTCTACAACATTTGCTCAAATTGCTTTTATAGTGTGACTTTACACTTATTATTGAACCTCAGTGCTGTTTTTCTAACTTGTTTAAGCTTACTAAAATATGCCACATACATTTTGCTTGTTTCTGGCAACACTGCAGTGATATTGCAACATCCAACTTGTTAATTTTTGCTGCTGTTTATACTTGTTCAATTCAGAATGTCAATTTTTACAAACATGACTGCTTGGCTACCAAAATATGGGTAACACCCATTAAAATCACCAGTTAGTGCCAGAGAAACATTAAGTGGGCTAAATGGTACAAGAAAAGAAATTGCAAAGGCAACCGGGTATTACTTGTTTGATATGATAAGAGATGTAAAGAATGTGTGCCTTGTAATGGGTTTGAGTCCTTTCCAGGAAAAGTGGCTGTATTCTTGAATTGAAAATTGTTTTAAAAAAAGATTGAAATATCCTTGACGTATGTTTACAAGTAGCTCTGACTAAATGTTATGAGGAAGTTTTTTCAACAGTGGTTAATTTCTTGTTTATTTAAATCATTTTTAGAAATTGTTGTCCTTATGATTCCTTTTTCCTAGTCCTATTACGTTAAGGATGGTCAATCATTTTTACTCGAAGGAAAATATCTCTTCAATCCAGGTTGCTTTCAGGGGGGGATTTTTGTAGGTCATCCACATTTCATCTTTGTGTGAAAGAACTAGCATTATACTTTTGTATGGGTCTTTGACCATCAACTCTAGACAGGGTAATAGACCATAACAGCAAGAACATAAAAATGAGGGAAGTTTATTTTAGAATATCAAGATACATTAGCTGTCATGCTTGAATTTAACCCTTTTCTTTTCATCAGTGAACCAACTGTGCACACCCCAAGGACTTTATCTTTATGGTGGGGTAGGTAGTGGCAAAACAATGCTCATGGACATCTTCTATGACAGCATTCAAGTTCCCAACAAGAAGCGCGTACATTTTTACTCCTTCATGCTTCAGTTGTATTCAGCCATTAATCGGTGGAACCTTTGTTGTCCAAGTGATGAGCTGACTTATGATATAACTCCAGTGGAGTCCATTGCCTCTGAGCTGGCTGGAGAGGCTTGGTTGCTCTGCTTTGATGAGATGCAGCTGGCTGACTTTGCCTCGACCCGGCTTTTGGAAGGAGTGTTTCGTAAAATGTTGGAAAGTGGAACAGTTATAGTAACAACATCTAACAGGTAAGATGACAGTTCGACATCAAACCTCAGTCATTGACATGGGTACGACAATTCCTCAAAACTATTTACCTTGCCTTTTCTCAAATTACTGAGCTCTGACTCTTTCAATTATTCCTGATCCAAAGAATCCGTGTATCTGTTAGTTTATCGTTTGTTTTTTTGGTCCGACCATCAGTTTTTCTTTTCATCTATCTGTCAATTCTCTAGTTGGTCCATTCAGTCTTAAGCTAGAAGGGACATCTACAAAACAAAAGGTAGAAATTTATTGATAAGGGTGTATGAACTTAAAGTTTAGACACTTCTTAGCCTGCCAGCAGCCGTAGTTTCATTTTTAACACGAACTCCTCACTCCTTTCATCTAGAGGGTGGTATCCTGATAAACAAAATAGTTTCTTCACTGAGGGAGAACTTCAAATCAGGGCTAAAGGATCTTGATCGGCTTATTTCTAGATCTCCGAATGAACTAGGGGCTTCATCATTTGGACGCGAAAGTGAGGCTCTAGATTCATTAACGTCACTAGTCGCTTTACTCACCGAGCATTGTGAATTGGTTGCTATGGATTCTGAAAAGGATTACCGCACCAATCAGAAACGTGGAAAGGACAATTATTTCAGTCCTCTGACTAAACACACAGAAAAGGTATTCGACGAAGCCTTTTGTGAAGCAGTGGGGCGTGGTCGGCGGCTGACATCGGTTTCGCTTCCCGTGTATGGTCGGAAGGTCATAGTCCCTATTGCTTCCGATAATGGCATTGCTAGGTTCACTTTCAACGAGCTGTGCAGGTCTCCTCTAGGGCCGGCCGACTACATTACGATCTGCAATGCTTTTCACACGGTCTTCTTGGAGGACATACCGCAGATGACCATCTACCAAAAGAACGAAGCTAGGCGCTTTCTGAGTTTTGTCGATGCAGCTTATGAAAGTAAAGTGCAACTTTTCTGCACGGCGGCCAGCTCACCTGATGAGTTGTTTCAACTGCTCCCTAGCGATGACCCGCTACAAGAAGACAAGATGCACATGGAAATGATGGGTGAGATGGCTTATGATCTTGAGCTCACCCAGCTCGAACTGAGCTCGCTCGGAATATTGACCGGCGAGGAGGAAATCTTCTCGTTCAAACGTTGCATTTCGCGTCTGAAGGAAATGCAAAGCGAACTTTATCAGTCCCAGAAACACCGTCTCCAAGCGTTCTCTCCCTATCTCGGTTCTTTTGAAGAACGTCTGCAATCGGAAAATCGTCGAAGGGAGCGCGAGCACAAGCGACGAGTGAAAATGCTAGAGGCCTCGGGAGATGGCAGTGAAGCTCTCCGCCAATTACCACTGACGCCTCTGACAACAGGCTCCTCGGACTGGGCGGACGAAGCCAGTTACGTCACTTGGAGTAATGACATCATGAGGAAAGAATTGCAAGACTTGGAAAGGAAGAGAAGCGGGGAGTTGGTGACGAGACAGGACGCTCCTAAATTCAATGAGGAACACTTCTGGGGTTTTGGGTGGTGGGAAAAGGTTGTGGGAAAAAGAAAAGCTAAACCAACACCAAACAACGATCACACAACTAACCACACGAAAGGCTGAATCCAAATTGGTTTGAACCAAAAACCAAAACTTAACCCCCCATCCTCTTCCTCTTAAAGACCACAACAACTGTTACTTTACTCAGATGCAACGACGGCTAGTAAAGTATATATTTTTTTAACCATTTCCTCATAGGCCTTTAGTACTGTACAGTAAAACTCTAAAATCTATTCATTTAATTGTGGGGTAATATGAAATCCAAGTAATTTCATTATGCAACGATATGCGTTGGGGAAAAAGACACGGGTTAGATATCCTCTGTTTCCGCGTAGTTATTTTTTGAGCTCAAAGCTGCAATTACCTTGCGTAAACTTACCACATGAAGCAAGCAGGGTTTGTTTTGCAGGTTAATTTAGTGACCCCTCGCCCCTCCCCTCTTCCCGAGAACCTCTGTTAGTGTGAAAATAATATCTGACAAGGCAAATTTTTTTTAAAATTTAATCCATTTAGTATAATTAATATTTTAATATCCAGGGTGAGAAACAATCCCTGTCAGGGAAAACTTTATTTGGAATTTTAAAAATACATGCGAGTGTAAAGAAACCACTGATAGTTTTTCAAAACAAATGAAAATCAGATTTAAAACCTCCCGAGTGGAGGCCATTCGGTCTTCATCGCAAATCCGGTGCTCATGATCCGAGCGTTGTGACGACTTAAACCCACATTGGCGAAGAAAGGTCTAATACATTACGTGGGCCTGCTAAGCGAAAGTGTCGATTTCCATGACTTTTAATGCCAAATGGTTTTATCATCTCGAGGTCGTTGTTCTGGATCATGACTCGACTGAGATGAAATGGTTTCAGCCAGTAGATTCTGGACCGATACGAGATGTGCTCCATTCAACTGTTACTGCCTTGTTGGAGGCCACAAACAATTGGGCCTTCAACATTGATAAAGGCAGTATAAATGCAGTTGTTTTTCTCGACCTAAAAAAGGCTTTTGATACCGTTGACCATACAATTCTTATGTCTAAATTATTTGAATATGGTATCCGCGGTATCGCTTATGAATGGTTTAGCTCATACCTAGATAATCGCCATCAACAATGTTTTGTAAATGGTTCGCTCTCAATTAGTCAAGTTCTCACTTGTGGAATTCCGCAAGGAACAATTCTAGGACCTTTGCTTTTTGTTCTATACATAAATGATCTTCCTAATTGCCTGTCTAATTCAGTTGCACGTATGTATGCCGACGATACTCACCTGACCTTTGCCAGTAACAACATAGAAATGATCAATGATGTTATGAATCACGACCTATCCAATGTTAACACATGGCTCACTGCAAACAAATTGACTCTAAATTCATCTAAAACTGAATATGGAATAGCTTGTCCCCTGAATTGCGGCAAGCAAAATCACTTCAATCCTTCCGAAATGGTTGTCGCAATTTCTTCCTCTGAATCGACAAAACACACACGGCATCTATGTAAAGCAGAATTTCTTTATTTTTTTCTATTTTACTTTTAAATTTTAGATCATGTTTATATAGATTAAAATAGATTGTAACTGTAATAATAGATTGTAATAATATTATTATTTTATCTGATAGATTTACCGTGTCTAAATAAAAATAAAGTTCAAGTTCAAGTGGTTACGGTAAAGATGTCGGTGTAGTTTGACTGGTTCAACCTATGAGAGTTCTGTCGATCAACATACCAAGTGAGATAAAGCTGATGAGTTTGTTGGCTGGCGTCGTGCGAACAGCACGGTCAAAGAACTGACTAAATCGTTAACAGATGCCTGCGGGTGGTTCTACAAAGTAATAGCAGGGTTCCCGCGCTCCTTGAAAGTCCTTGAATTTAATTTTTTGTTTTCAGGAACTTTAAAACCCTCGAATTTAGACTCCGGTCCTTGAAAATTCTTGAAAAGTCCTTGAAAGTAGGTGCAGACGAATCAAAGTTGAAGTGTTCTTTTATTTTCGGTGTTGAAGGTGTAAGTTTCTAGCACAAATCGCAAAAAGCAGTTTTCCTTTCAAATCCCGCGTCTGATTATGACGTTTAACACGTGGTTTCTATATATTTTGTACCTGATTGGTGCATCGAAAATAACCTTGGTTACCTAGCACGTGATTACACTGATGTACATGCAGGAAGTCACGCTCGTTGGACTTTTCGGCCGCTCCTATTTATAGCAAAAGGTCCTTAAATTTGAGAGCCAAGGTCATTGAAAATGCCCTAAAAAGTCCTTGAAAGTCCTCCAATTGGTTTCCTCAAAAAGTGCAAGAACCCTTACTCTTGTGAATGACAGCAGAACTAGAACCGAGGTGAAAACAAACACATTGATTAAATTCGCCTCAATCTCATGAAAGCATAACTTTTTCAATAGTCTCGTACATACGTGGTGCTACCTTGTAGAGGAAGATTGAAGAGAAGTAGGCATTAAGTATGGAGGGGAGTACTGGACAAAATTGTTATTAGATCGTGTGCGGTGAGGCATTATATCGTACTGCATGGTTATGTAGCCGGAGGTACTATATCGTACCCGGTATGTTGTCTTATCGTAATGGCGATGCCATTATGTCTTACCACACGCTGCTATATCGTGCCCGATAATGCTACATCGTATCTGGTGTGTTGCTGTATCGTAGCAGAGATGCCGTTTCATCGTACCTGATAATGCTAGATCGTAGTCGATAATGATATATCGTACCCGGTGTGTTGTTACGTCGTAGCAGTGATGCCGTTTCATCGTACCATAGGCTGCTATATCGTACCCAATAATGCCATATCGTAACCGGTGAAGCTTTATTGTGCGTCTAACTGGTCAGCGGCTTACGGTGAAATTGGCGCGAAACTGACATCACGTGTTCTAGAACGCGATAGTTCTCGATTTTTACTTCTCTTGAAACGCGGTGTTGGACAAGTAGAGATTCTTAGCTTAGGTGTGTGTTTCTTTCCTCTAATCTATTGATATGTTAGATCAAGATCTCATAGCAAGAACCACATCTATTTTAAGAAACGCATTAGACGGAGCTATAGGGCACTTTAAGTTCAAATAGGACCAATAAAAACATTGGTGACCTGCATGGTGCAACTGTCGGCACATCTGCCATTCGCGATCGCGAACGTGCCTCGGATAACTTCAGGTGAGTAAATAATATGTCATTTATGAAGCTTAAGCTGAAGGTTCTTTATTTGTGAAAAAGAAAATTGTAGCGTGCAGAACAGGCGTAATTTTTTTGCGACTTTCAGGCATACAGGCGAAGCTTTCTCTTCCCCTCGCGCTTGGCATTCGCCACGCTTTCGCCTCTGTTCACCTAAAGACGCCAAAAAATTACGCCTGTTCTGTAGGCTACAATTTTCTTTTTCACAAATAAAGAACCTTCAGCTTAAGCTTCATAAATGACATATTATTTACTCACCTGAAGTTATCCGAGGCACGCTCGCGATCACGAATGGCAGATGTGCCGACACTTGCACCATGCAGGTCACCAACGTTATGATTGGTCCTATTTGAACTTAAAGTGCCCTCTAGCTATGTTAATGCGTTTCTTAAAATAGATGTGGTTCTTGCTATGAGATCTTGATCTGACATATCAGTAGATTAGAGGAAAGAAACACACACTTAAGCTAAAAATCTCTACTTGTCCAATACCGCGTTTCAAGAGAAGTAAAAATCGAGAACTATCGCGTTCTAGAACACGTGATGTCAGTTTCGCGCCAATTTCACCGTAAGCCGCTGACCAGTTAGACGTACGATATAGCATCACCGGTTACGATATAGCATTATCGGGTACGACATAGCAGCCTATGGTACGATGAAACGGCATCATTGCTACGACGTAACAATACACCGGGTACGATTTATCAATATCGACTACGATATAGATTATCAGGTACGATGAGACAGCATCTCTGCTACGATATAACAACACACCGGATACGATGTAGCATTATCGGGCACGATATAGCAGCATGTGGTACGACATAATGGCATCACCATTACGATAAGACAACATACCGGGTACGATACAGTACCTCCGGCGACATAACCATGCAGTACGATATAATGCCTCACCGCACACGATCTAATTACAATTTTGTTCAGTATTACCCTCCATAATTAAGCTAGTCCAGTATGTAGGTGATTATGTTCAACTAAATGAAATTGGTTTAGGACCTTGTAGGACCAAAAATTTCCAATGCGAATTTCCAATGCCAATGCCCGATAATGCTACATCGTATCCGGTGTGTTGTTGTATCGTAGCAGAGATGCTGTCTCATCGTACCTGATAATCTATATCGTAGTCGATAATGATATATCGTACCCGGTGTCTTGTTACGTCGTAGCAATGATGCCGTTTCAGCTGTTACGTGTCCCCCTCTATAAATAAAGTCCTTACTTACTTACTTACTTACATCACCTTCATTCTCAGTGTCACGAAGGCAGAGCGCGCCTTACTCCTATGTCTTAGAGTTGCTCTACTCGTGAAGGGGAATGATACGGATAGAGACTTTGTGTTTCCCTCTGTCTTAGAGTTGCTCTACTCGTGAAGGGGAATGATACGGATAGAGACTTTGTGTTTCCCTCTGTCTCGCATAGTTGATCATTCCCATGATCTGAAGCTAATTGTACTGGATCATGCAAAGCTTATATTCGCGCACATCAAGATAATTATATTTATTAAAATTCAACAGATAGCACTAAAAAGAGTCCCGTCGATTGTAATTCTAAAACAGTAAAGTTTTAACTCCAACTGAAATGAATCAAGGAGACAGTGACTGATCTCTTGACCGTTTGACGACAGAATTTTCAAGACCTCAGTTCCCCGAGTCCTCGTTATGTCACCATTGCCTCCCTTCGAGAGGAAGTTATCGTAAAGCTACGTTTTTGGTCGGAAAGAAAACCGAAAACTTCCTCTTGGTGTAAACCCTGAGTGAACCAGGGAAAAGTGTGTTCGCTTTATTCGTGTGTATTGTGATTACTGTTTGTTTGTGCTGGAAATCAGTTCCTGGTCCATTACATGAAGGTATCGAGTTGCACTTTTTATTGTAACGTTGGTAGACAAAGTTCAAGCGTGCAACCATAGACAAAGGTTTCGTTTTCTGTATCTAGTAACTAATTATGAACAAAACGTATACAAAGAAGCGTGAGTCAAAATGAAGAATTATGGAGTGAAATAATTTTGACTTAAAATTTAAGTTTCATATAATGTGGAAACAAAATCTGATCAGAAAAATGCACTTAAATAATTATTTTCATTCTTGTACGTGGAAGAAAAAATATTTTTTGTCTCGGAATTTTCTTTAGAATTTTTCTTCTAGGCATTTACACGAACTCTACTTTTGCTTCCAAAGTAACATTCGGACGATGCAAGTTCTGAATTCGCACTCTTAAACCTCTAATTGGTCAGCAGAGTTTCAGGCAAAGGAAGCAACACTCCTCCACGGCTGTCCAAAGACTAAATTTAAAGATAAAAATTATTGCGAAGACCCTAATCGGTCGGCGTTTTATCATTGACTGGAAATGGTTCCTGGCGGGGATTGATAACCAGATACTTCATTTTGCTGTCCTGAATTATACCTAAGATACGGAGAAGGATAAGGCATACTTCGGTGATCACGTAAAGACGGGAATCCTCGGTACACAGCCGTAGTTGGTCCGGGGGAAGTAGGGTGAGGATGGAATAGCGGTGACGTAATAGTTGGACTCATGACAGGGGTGCACGCCGGGACCGTTATGGAGGGGACTGTCAGAGAAGAAAGAACGCGACTCATGGGTACTAGAGGTGTGGTCACATTTGCCATTGTACCTGGAATAAAAAGAAAGAAAACTGATACATCCAGGCCACAGAGCAACTCTATACGTACTTGCATCCCTAATTTTTGGAGTGGAGTGAGAGTGTCGTACAAAAAGTGACGATAATTCGTGAACGTCTTTTGCTTCATTGTATAAAATCGAATTTCGTTTTGACAAATCTAAGCCATTCTGGCAGTTACTCAGTTTATTTTCATTTCTTTGTCCGTTTTAATCATACTTCGGTTTCAAATTGAAATTCTTAAAGTTGAAAATTGAAAACTGAGGTAGGGTAGAACAAAATCATCTTTCTTGTTTGTTTTTTTTTTTATATATAGATAACAGCCCCTACTAAAGATAGAATAATTGAGGAGAATGAATATTTGAGTTGTGTTTCGAAGTTCAGTAAGTTTTATGACCTTGATATGCTTGAAAATGGCAATATAACTAAGAAAATTACGATCGGGAAAAATGAAATTAAAAATATAGTGGTAAATAGCATGGTTAAAATCTCGACAGCTAAGATAGCTTTAACATCAGCCCATAAAACAGTTAAGAACATACAGAAAGATGACTGAAAACCTGTGACACTGTCGCCCTCTTCTCGGTTAGAATTACATGACTTTGGAGGGTACACCTCACTTTGAAGTCGAGGCTTCGCTGTGGGCATTACTGATCCTGGCTCTATTTGTTTTATTACTTCCACTACACTGCAAAGAGAGAGAATAGATTTTACGTCTCAGTTTCCTATCGTTCAACCGAACAGAAAGAGCGCTTGTCTCTGCCGCACGAAGATAAAGTAGCAAACTCCTAGAGTCCTGAATAAATTCTTACGGGAAGTAGATTATTACAAAGGAACAGAACCGTCAATGCGTCTTAGCGGCATTCTTATATCCCCTGAAGAAGTTTGTTAATGTCGCATAAAGAAGTTAGGGGCAAACACGGGAGAGAGAAAATGTGGAAATTCCATGAGTTGTCTTTATCTATATAAGGGCCTGTAAAGTAAACTTTAGAAGGATTGACAACATATGCAATTTATCAGCTAGGTCTTAAGCTAAAAGCGAACAAGTTATCTTAACTGAATACCTTTACAACTTGAATTGCGCTGAAACTCTATGGGACAAACGTAAAACTGTATTGAAGGTTGTCTCTTCCCTGCCTTCTCTATTTTGTAAAGTGTAAACAACTCCAAGACGCATACTTAGCATGCAGGAACTATTGCCCGTAACTTAACGTGATTTTCTGGTTGAGATAGAGCGATGACGATGCAAGGAGATTGACAGCCTAGTAGTATCGCCTTTAGTGTCGCCTTTATAAGCTGGTGAACAGCATTTTCAATTAGAATAGAATTGAATTGAGTAAAGTTGAGATTTGAGCTAGTTCCGTTAGCGGTAAGTTGTAATAGGTAATCAGAACAAGAAATAAAGAAGTATCCACTGAGTGTCAGAAAAAGCATCTAACACTAGGGAACGAAACCAATTGTTTTCAAAGCATACCAGTCGTCCGGATCGCAGTCACGAAATCCTTTGGCAAATGGATTGCTAGCTATCTTTAATTGTGTTATCTGGTGAAGAGAACAGATAAGAATTGTAATTAATATGTATATGTACCAAACATCTGTACAGCACTTTCTCAGCGTCGGTTCTGACTGACTCCTTGAATCGAAATATTTGAGCTGCTTTAACCGTCCGAGCGCAGAAAAAGCTGCTCCATCTTTAACCCTTTGACCTTTGAGAGTGACTAACATCTAATTTCTCCTTACAATATCACCCATCAATCAAACAAGGTCATGAGAATACACGAAATGGTCACCAGAAAAGTACGGAGAATATGCATGTTGGTGTTAGGTTGTAAAAGGTTAAGTGATTTACACACAAAATAGTCGTACGAAGTACAAGGGAAATAATTGAACACGACGAATAATCCCAAATCAATGGCACGCTTTTGTTTTCAGTCAGTTAAAGATCATAGTATGGTGGCACTTAGAGTAACAGGAAATTGCATATGCCTGTGAATGGAGGATCACATCCGCAGTACATGTATTTACGTTTGTCTGTAACTTGAACAGTGCGTTGTTGACAGACTGACAAAAATAGCACAGAATACCATACGGTTTTCTTTTACTTCTTGTGCGGAAAAGCATTAACGACTTTATAATCATCGTCATCATTGGGCTTGCGAAGTCATCGACGTACGTAGGTTCTGGACTTCGAACGTACGTGTGAAATCGATCAGGAAAAGAAATAATATTCGACGATCACTGACATTTATGGTATCTATTACGAGATAAATACCGCTCCTAGTTCCTATAGAACATTCCAAGAATGACAAAATGGAAAATCTACATCATTTATCATGAGAAAAGATTTTTAATTGACATACCATATGATTCTGATACGCGGTCACAGCCATGAATTGCGTTTCTGGAAATAAGAATGTTTTGACGTGTTCTGTACTCGCTCCCAGGGCGCTGCTCATTGTACTCTTCTCTTGGTTGTCGAGGACGACGTGAAAACGAGGTTGATACTTGTGCATAGAATTAAGTATAATCTGAAAGAAATTAGCTGTCTCAGCCATCGGCATAATCATCAACAGTAACTATAATGTTATGTTTACTATTAATATTATCATCATCATTATCGTAACTATTATCAGTGTTATCATCAAGGTTACCGTAGTCATTAACATACCAAGACATGATATGCATAATTCGAGTCTCAAAGTTTATCAAGGACGAAAAATAGAAAGTTTATTCGAGATGTTGGCGTCCAAAACAAGTCATTAAGCTTTGAATGCGATGAACATCTAATTCAAATCCTTAACTGAAAAACATATTGAATAATCATGTAACCGTTCTCTTTAAAAAAAATCGGCATTTGGAGTCTATTTGGGTGATAAGTGATGCCTTACAGACCTAGAATTTTGAACGAGAAATTATATCTCCAATCTTAAACATTTTTCCAGAAATGCCGTGATCAGGTCAATTGAAAAACATATACTTATAATGCTGATATCTTCTTACGTGTCCGTTGTCGTCCATTAGATTATTGGTGAGTTTAAGTTTATCGAACGAAACGACTTGTTTCATCCATTGCTGTCCAGCACAGGGTGAGTCAGGGTGAATGTGTACTCTCCCGGGTACACTGGCGTCTGCTTTGCCTGCCACCAGCCACTTGGAACTGTGAAACGCGTACCGATAGCGTTTATCGTCCACTGGTATGAAGTCCATCATTAGGATGTACTTAGCCGTAGGGTCCAAACCTCGTAAACGCACCTGGAACGGCGGAAACATGCGTCTGGCAAGGAAAGATGAAAGAAAGAGGAGAAGGATAATTTTTCATTTTAAAATTACCTCAGGTGTTTCAGGTCCTTTATGTCGGAATTAATTTAGTGGTAAAGGTTCTCACGCTGCCAAAGGTAGCTCTCAAGCAAAAGTCTAAACCCTTAAACTCTCAGAAGTGATTAACATGTAACTTCTCCCTATAATATCCATAAATTATCCAGCAATCAGATAATGAGAATCATCAAACTTATCAGGTAGAAAGTTGTTATCTTGATTTAACACCAAATTCTCGTAACTAATTTCCAAGGAGATTTCTAGAAGCTACATGGGAGAATCAACATTCGGATCTTGGTCCTCCACTGGATTTGAAAGCTCCGGTATATCTTTCTGGCTCCGGTTGTTCAAAGAGCGGATAACGCTATCCAACGGATAAATCGCTATCCAGCGGATAAGTGTTGCCAAAACGTACTGTGCTATCCACCGGATAGAGATTTATCCACTGTATAGCGTTATCCATCCTTCGAACAACCGGGGCCTGCAATCTAAAATGTGTTCGGCTTCCGCTTCATTCATATGTTTTTTCTTAAATCCTCTTAGAATAGTTAAAATGATGCATAGTGAAACGACCGAAGCCTGCATGCAACAAAACTTTAAAGTGGTACCCCTGGAGGTACCCCCAAGTAAGAAATATCCCTCGGGTATCTCTCGAGCGAACACAATTTATTATATCACCCCGATAAAACAAATACTAGACAACGGACCAAAAATACTATTTAGCAAAGTGAACTTATAAACTGTTAAATACCAGTTACTCGGCATTTCAGAAGTTACATCTTTATTTCAGTGTATGATGGAATTGCTCGACCAAGGTGGCCAAGCACTCGGCGCTTTGGGAGGTTCTTTTCTGTTATATAAAGTGTTTGATGACTAAACCAATATTTTTTCTTGGCTCCATCAACACGTACTGTATAATCTTGCATCTGAGGTTACATTTTGGCGAGGAACATAAACAAAAAATATCACGACCCTTTTTAGAAGACACGGGAAGTGTCGGGGAGGCACTAATCATATTTGTTTCCTTTACTTTCTCATAACTTGTAATACCATTTCCGCTTTTGCCTAAGTAGTCTTAGCCGGTAATTTTGTTGGAGGGCGTTACCAAGTGGGTGTGAGGTATTCTCGTATTATCAAACATTGAGTTCAAGCAACTGCTACTTCTGAAGAACTTTTCGGTTGAGTTTTCACAGTAATGACAAAGTAATCTATTTGTCTAGTTATTCTAAACCCCTGCAGCCAAACATACAAACAAAAATATTTCACCAAAGTTGCAAAAGTGGCGTCATGTTCGCATCCAGAAAAATGAACCTCAAACAGGTAGTGAATATAACCGGCTTTTAACGAATAACTCAAAAGAATCAATCTTAAATCCAAGCTAGGAAAACTGCATGAGCAACGCAGTCAGCAAATCGAATATCTCGAATCGCCAAATACAAGAGGTCACGCGTTTTGGCTGCAGATTACCCACAACGTTTGAGAAACATCAGTGGAGTTTCTCTTTCAGGAAATATGAAGACCAAAACACTGATGATTATGATAAGATCATAGCACTGCGAGAACAGTAATTTATCATATTCGAGTGCCATCCATTTTCAGGCATGTTCCACCGGAAAATAACTCTCAGAGTAAATGATTGAAAATGCTGACTCATTTGCTCCAAAGAAAACAAAGTGCTGTCCCGGGCAATTGAGAGGTTAATCTATGACAAGATGAAACCCATTTCACAGCCAACTTAAACTACTAAGATTGGCTTTAGAGTGTGCTATGTTTGATTAATAACGAGAAGACAGAGATCGGATTCCCCTGGAAACATGAAAAATTCGCTATCGAAATCCACTGTGTTTAGTGTATAGAAAATTTCCGACAAAATAAATGTACCGAGAGGGTAAATACACATGAGGATCCTTTGCGTGACTGCTGATCAAACGTCTTGTGTCCACTGTGTTTCACCTCCACCGGTAAGAAGCCAACTCCAGATGACACCAGTCGATGGAGTCTCCCTTTCTTTAAGCAACGTAATTTACAGAGGCAAACATTCCATTCCCAGTCTCATGATCTAAGCATGGATGGTAAAAGGGACTTAGGGACTTAGCATGTATTACAAACTTCGCAAATGAGTCAGCAAAGGAACCGGGAACTTTGTAGTGCAAATATTGTCCAAAGAGTTTGCTAAGTTGAAATCAGTGGTGCTGTGGGTATAAAATACATGTAAAACATACAAGGTGAGGCTAAAATGTTTAACGCCAGACCTCATTTGAAATTTCGCCAAGCCTTTAAATCCCAACGCATGATTAATGGTTGTTTCTCCCTTTAAAATGACACCCTTTAGCTGATATCTTTGTTAATTCTCATCACCTGTTACCAAGATAACAACCTGAGTTTGTTTGGCGAGGTTAGTACATATTAATGACTCTCAAGAGGTTAACGTTCTTTCGATACTGATTTCTCTCGTATTTCTGTAGAATTCCCGACTAGGCATAAGGTCAATCAATCAATAGCTTTATGCAAAGTAAACTTTCAGCGTGGCCAAAGAGAAAAAACTAATTAATGTGACGCCAAATCTCCTTCCAAGGGTCTTTACGTCCAAAGTCCCTTACATTAGGTTTTGCACTTGTGCTAGCTCTCTCAAAGGCCCTGTTAATGGCTAATGAGAGTGTGCCGTAAATACGCAGACTGGTGGTTTATATTGACCTTAATAAGAGGGGGTAGACCTTAAAAGGAACTCTTTGGAATTCTGTCTTGAAGCTGGGGGCTTGTAATTTTTGTTGAAACGTGATATTATCAGAAGAGCCGTCTGTTTTTTCCGGCTACTGAAAGCCTTAGACGGTCAGTTAAATTAAATTCTCATGATGTTTTCCCTCTTTCTAATCAAGGGATGGAATAGAAGCAACCCCTGTGTCAGTCGATTATATACAAGACCATTAATAAATTCAGTTACTTCACTGCTTACTTAGAAGTAATAAAAAATATCTGAATTTCTTTCACAACAATAACTTAAAATGCACTTAAGTCGCCTTTGCTTTTCCTAAAAGTTTGAGCAAATACATTTTGTGCAAACAAGCAAACGGTCATTACAGCTTAAGAGGCGACTTATCTTATAAAGATTTATGTTTATTTGAGGAACTGAAAGTTTGCCAAGAGAAAGGTATGAATCACCTTTGAAGGCAATTATCCACTTTATTTCTTCGACAATCAATCGCCGAATTAGTTGGTCTTCCGTTTCATAACCGCAGAAAGACAGGAAAAGGAGAACAGAATTCCCAAACAAGGCTAAACCGTATTAAGGCAGAATCTTTGTGACAAGGGTGTGAAAGTTTTCGAAACTTTTGATTCGTGGCGAATGAGAAATGATTGTTAAACAGGTCTCGACAGTACATTCTTGTAACAATTAGCCCTGAGGCTAATCTAAAAAAGTCTACAACCGATCCGTGACAATTGTGTACGTAAGGTTTACTTTGCAAGACCCGAATATAACTTTAGAGATACCAAGCGAATTAAAAATGAATGCGAACTTCATTAAAAAGGGACATCGCACTTTTCCACACTATCAGCTCAAACTTCTGTTCTCCTGTTATTCCTGTAATCTTACGACCTTTAATTAGCTTAGCATTCATGTTACTTCCTGTCCCTCTCGAGATAATAGAGTTTTCTTTTCATTTCGAATTTTTTGGGGAAAAATGTTGGCAGATAATGTGCTTTCTCTTTTAACTGCTTGCCACACGCGTTCGTGGCCCACAAATCGCGTTTGTTCATAGAGAAAACAAACCATAGCAACACAAACGAGTCAACCATAATGGATTGTTGTTGTGATAACGCTGATTAGGAAATCAAAACCATTTTTTCCAGCTAATGGCATAAACAGACCTATTCACTGAAAGTAAACGGATTCATTGTAATGTTATTTTTTGGCTTTAACTAGCATACACGCCAGTAATGAGGGATTCCCTCTTACGATATCGGCCAGCGAGATAACGCCTGACAATTTTCGCACAATTTGCGAATAATTTATGATCGGCCTTTTGTAACCTCCAATTACAGTCAGCATTTAGCGTGGAGATTCGCCTAAATGTGTTCCTTTGCTTAACGTTTTCATTCAAAGTGCATGTTCCCCGTGATTCGAAGGAAACTCTTTTCATTCATAAAGTTCGCCACATTTTACGCACCCAGATCATGTATTAGGTATTAAAATCAGAACAACTTAATCACTAACCTTCCAGCTTTTGTGACAATCATCTCTGTGCCCAAGGCGTAGAAATCGTCCCATAAATTCTTCATCTCTATTTCTACTTTCACATTTGCTAAAGAACAAGACAGTGGACTGCTTGGAGGTGTAGACGAAGAGGAACATCGTTCGTCCACTCTGCGAAAATCGGACGTCGTTCTTGTCGCGTCATTGTTAATGGTTGTAGAATTTTGCCGAATAGCTGCCTTTTTTCCCGTTCCCGCATTACGTAGCCTCTCTAAAACAATGAAGCGAAAAAACCAAGGTGTAAGTAACATCGGTCACCTGTGAGGTGCTGAAATATCTTCTCTCTCACCTTCCATATCTTTCGTAAGTTTGAAGGATCCCCAGTTGAACATAATTGGAGATTGTGTCTGTTGGTTGTTGATGTTCATAAACTCAGGGAACTGTGAAGCGTCTATCAAATGTGCAATCGAGAACGCGTTCGCCTTAGGAGACAACAACCCGGAGAGGTCCATCTAACGATAATCCGGCTGTTGACCGGTTTATTGATTTGCAGCCCGAAGGCTAGGCGTCTGGCGGTGTTTACAACGCAAATTTAGACACGAAAGATACGCCAACCGTGTGTGATGAGCCGACCCTGTGAGCTTGTCTAGAGGTGGAATTTCCAGTATCTTGGGTTTTTGCTCTCGAATTATGTCCTGCTGTCATTCATCAGAGTCATTACGAAAACAATAACTGTCAAACCACGTAGAGAAACAATCGAGTGGATAGTCTGAAGAAGACTGCAGAGGAATTACGAAGACGCGAAAATTCACGATTGTTTAAAGCGCGATTTGGCCTCTAAAGTACTATTTCGGATACGACGAATAAATGAAATCAAGAATCTTCGATCGGGTCAAGGATGATCTCATGTTCTTTATCCTGTTAAGAACGCAACAGGGTAACCGCATAATCACGCTGTGTAAATTGCCATCATTTGATCCGCGGACAATGTTGTTGTTTTTGCACGTGAGACTTAAGAGCCATAAAATGCAATCTGTTCTTTAGGTGGCATCGCGGTTGTTAAAATTTCTCATCATCGGGTAGTATGACCTGACTAACCCTCGAGAGAAGGTCATTAGCTATAGATGGCGAGATAGGTAAGGACATTTTCACGGGAATAACTCATGATAAGCAACTCCCTTCAGCTGGGCGCAGCATTCTTTAGGGGAGTGTTTCTGCGCAAACAACCAAATTGCTAGGTGCTAGATGTGTCCTTAATTGACATTGTTAAACAAACTGAAATGACAGCAAGCGTACTGCCAAAACAATTACGCCATAATTCTTTGTTATCATTTTCGCTCCTTTTATTAACGAGGTGTCAATCAATTGGGGTGAGCGATTGTTGTTGCTCAGTTTGGCTTCATCTGGCGGTGAATTACAGGATTTCGAAAAGCATCTTTCATCGGCCATATTATCAGGACAAACTGTAAATGAACTCAAGAGAGCAGCTTTGTGTTCGCACAACATCAGGAAGTACGAGGGACGGTCGAACAAAATAAAAGAGGAAAATAAGGGTGGTTACCCTCCGTGTCTAATGCCTAAGTTACTGAAATTCCATCACATTCACTTAATTCTCTGGCAAAAACCAGATGTTAAGAAAAGAATCAATTCCGCGAAAAATCCCACCTTTCCTTCTCCACGCAGCTTTGATTGTTCCAACGAGAGGTTTATCTTCTTGGATTCAGTATAACTATGAATTCCTTTTACAAAACATAAGGGTTGGCCTGTTATATCGATCGAATAAATAGTAAGCACTCACGCTGAAAACTTGATATTCGAAGCAAACACAAATGCTATTTTGAACGACCTTAGACATGTCATTTGACCGTCTTGAATTTCGACAAAGAACACACGTTCACGATTTTTTACTATTATTTTTAGATTTTAAGATGTGATAGTTAGGGGGCAAGTTACTTCAGAACTTAAACGGGAAAATATCTCTATTTTTGTTTCGAAAGAAACTTTTTACTGTGAAAATAGTAATTGGGAAACTGTCGGAAACAAGTGTTTTTGTTTTCTCAATTTTCCGTGTGCGCGAGATCAAAGGATTTACGCATGGGAACACGGGGGCGTATTTCTGCTTACTCCCAAAACTATTCAGAGATCTAGATCCGGCCTTACCAAAGGAGGAAATAGGTGTTTAAAAATGATGTTATGTTTAAACTACTCCCAACAAATTAAAGCGTATTTAACGTGGGATAATCATTCGAGAGCATGAAAAGTGTTTTGAGGATTATTTAGTCCGCCCCACCCCGATTCAAACTATGTCCCTCCCCCAAAGATGCAGTCATTAGGCAATAGTCACACACTGAAAGAACTTCATGTAATCTTAAAAGACAAAAAATATTCAAGCGTGTTTTTCTAATATCATTTTACCACCTTGCTGTTTCGATTTATTTCCACTGAAGGCACCAAAAACATGGTGATGGCTGACCTTGTCACTAGCAACGGAGGAACTTCGACCTCTACAATTGTTTACCAACGAGAAAGAAATTGGAAGGGGCCCAAGAATAATGATGAACCTACACAAGAGTTACTCAATGGGATCTTTAAGCGTTTCTATTTCCGTTTCGTTACTGTCATTCCCAGCAGCGACATGCCCTGATCTATTTTGGTTATAACTTGCCGAATGATTTTTTTTTTATTTATCGGAGGGTCAAAAAGGCAACGCAGTCAAACGCTGAATCGAGAAGAAACCGCAGCTCGCGGCTCTCAAATGGAAACGGACTTGGAAAAATTGATTTCTTTGCGAGCATAATTTAGAATGAGTAAATTTTTCCTTTTTTAACTTTCTTCTTTATTTGGATGCTCGGTGTGACTGACTATAGTTAAACTATAGACTGACCGACGAGATGACATAATCATTCTCACACCCCACGCGCCTTTCCAGGCCTCTTGCGGCGTTGGTGCGTGTCTTGTCGATAAATCAGAATTATTAGCACGCATGGAATATGACTTGAACTGTATCTTTAAAAACGCATTAGATTCAAAGTCGTCATTCAGCATTCAAGGGCATTGTTGACCCCTCACTGCATTTGCACACATCAGGCGACCTCCACCGAGAAATCATTCATCGAATCGATTAATTCTTTCTTCCTTAGCAGCTAAAAAGTGTTTAAATTGTAGCAGAAATGAAAAAAAATTTGATTCGAGTTTCGGTGTCTTTCGGTGTCTTTCGTGTACGTGACCATACTTCATGTACCTGTCCCGTGTAAAATCACTGAAGAGTCAGGAAAGATGGAGCGAAGAAAAAAAATCTGAGTCCTTCGTAGGAAAATCATAGTTGAAGTTTAGAGAAGCACTTACTGCGATTTGAAATGATAGTGAACCCAAGATCGATCATCCTAATAGTATAGCTGACTTTCTTTTTAAAGATCTCGCCATCTGGAGAAATTTCTCTCTATGTCTAGTATGTACAAGAGTCATTCAACCCCAGCCTCTGCCGGCTGGTTCGAAAAAGACAATTCTCAAATAATAATGCAATAAATCATATTATAATTTGTATATGACAAGAATTAGCAAACTGGTCATAACAAATATCTGCAATTAAAATCGTGGGATCTTGGCAGAATAATGTGAGAAGTATAGGAACCATAAAGCAGACTGAAGAGGGGGGGGGGGAACTAGTTCCATGGTTATCGTCTCCCTCCCTCTGAATTCATTCGATATGCGCTAGCCCAGGTTTTAAATGCTATTAGAGATTTTGCAACTTTCATTCGGGAAACGTGGATTAACAACCGGATATGCAAAGATTTTGCGGTCGTAAAGCCGACTGAATCAAACACACGTACACTGGCTTTTGTCAGCCTTACGTTCCATGAAAAAGGTTAACTAAAATTACAACAAAAGACACTATTTTTGTGGTTGATCGCTTTTTCCACCACTTGGAATTATTGGAGTGGAACGAGTGGGGAGACTGGAATATTCAATAATTTGTCAGTAAGAGAATTTTTCAAACATTTCGCAACTGCAAAGGTTCTTTGAGTTTTCCCTTGCACGGCTCGTATCATATCTCAAGTACTACACTTGTATTGATTGCTATGGATCTGAAATGCTTTGCATAGGTTAGAAAAGTCTCATGCCTCTCCACATCAAAGATCCCGAGGTCGTTTGCGGCTTTGCGCTTGACAGCCACAAGGAATCTAAGGAATCTAACTTAGAGTTCGTCTAGTTAAGATCAGTGTAGAAAGGAAGAGAAGATTACCATCTAACCGAGATTTTTAAAAATTATAGGAGAGACCATAGGTTTATACCTAAGAAAGAGTGTAGGTTTTTATGGATACTTACTGTGCTAGCCGTAAGATGTTGTTATGTTGCCAAAAACATTTTTTTTTTTTAGGGAAAGGCTACATAGAAATGTCTAGTAACTATCCTCAAGAGTCCTAACCGCAACTCATCAAAAATAGAACAGACAGAGCTCTTTCGATTTTTTTATTGTAAACGTTTTCAATTGTTTTTTATTTTTTTTTTTTTCGTTTTGTTTTGTTTTTTTTTTATCAACCAAATCCGTCATTTTTAATGCCATTAATCTTCCAATTTCACGAAAGCGGGATACTGTAAATGAGATGGTCAATCAACCGACTCGTTTTTTTTTTAGACTACAACTGTTTTTTGTTTTTTTTTTTTTTTTGTTTTGTTTTGTTTTTTTTTTTTGCAGGGGGGGTCAGACGATTTAAGTGAAGTGAAAAAGCGTTATAAAAAATTTGTCAAGCAAATTCCACCGTGTTCATTTAAAACTTACTAACAAGCCTCATTTAGAAACGCTCTTAACTTTCAAAGTTGACTTCTGGAATAAAAAAAAATTGATGAGCTCTCCTGCCATGGTGCTATATTATGACTATAACGACAGAGGCCGAATTGAAATAATTTTAAGAAAATCAGTTGAGTCATTGAAAAATTGTGAGGGAAATATCAGCCGCCCAGAATGAAATCATTTGCTTTATTTCAATTTAAAAATACAGCTGATTTAGGATATGGCATGAAGGTCCACACCAGCGTAAAGACTACATACAGGACTACGTTGCCATAGATTGAGTTAACGCAAGCATTGCATGTATGTAAAGGACGTATTTAGATGGAGTCTCAAGTGCAACCAAAACTGACCAAAGTTATCACAACAGCCAATTAGAGCGAAGAATAGTATCATAAGGAGCCAATCAGTTTTTAAAGAAAAAGCCTGAAGCACGAAAACGTGAGTTACTTTGTCGCCATCGTCTTTAGTGTTTGGTTAAGTAAGGATGACGCGAATTTTCTGGGCCTATCATAGGACACAGTAAAGCAAATGAAATCTCCAATCACTTTGAAAACTTAACTGCGATTTGCTCTGTGCCACGGTTTGAGTCAACTGACTCAATTTTTAATTTGGTATAGATTTAATTTGTCACATTCGATACAAAGTATCTAAGCCCTACTACATACACCAGGATTGACACACAGCTTATATCGACTCTGGCAAGCTTCCAGTACGCTTCATTTTTCTCTGAAAGCTAGGCCGGGTGTCACCTGCAGTCAATCAGCAAGTGAAATTATCAAACTGGATCCAGAATTTTACTGCAATTATCTCAATAAACGGAGTTATGATGTCTTGGGGCGCATGGTGCACACGAATGGGCGCTAAATCGCCATCCCTCAATTTAGAATGAATTCAAGTTGATGTACCACCGCACATTGGGAAATACCTTGAGGCAATTTCATTTCAAGAGAGGGGATCATCTGCAGTATCGTTTATTACTCGCTGTCGTGCTGTTTCATCAGCTGCAAACTATAGTCTTTAGACGGAGAAAATGTCTTAAAATGATGAAGTGTAAACGGAGGTTGCCTTTCGACAAGAAAGAGGAATCTGAAAAAAAACACTAAAAATAATTCAGATGAATCCTCTTGTGCTAGTACGCATACCATAAATTGTAAAAACAGAAGCGCTTAAAGGACATTGAATGATGCTTCGAAGTTTTATTTTTAGAGACAGATTTTATTAATATTGTTTTTACGTATTGCCATATGTTTCATGGCAACTGATATGTTAAAGTTTAGTCAATCAAATGAACATTGATCCGTATGACTTGCCACAACTCCTGACCTTCGTCCAACAGAGAAAAACATCGGTTGCGTGTGTTCGTCCTTGTAGAGAAATACCTTTAGCCCTTAGGCTACAAAAAACTCTCTTATTTGCAAGCGACGCACTTCCTATGTTAATTTCGCTTGCGTTTAAAATAAAACCTGTGTTATTTGAAGAAGCAATCTTGGTGGCCAACACTAATGAAAAGTATCAATTTAATCATAAGGGGAAGCGCCGGGGCTATAAGGCACCAAGCGCGGAGCAAAAAATCAAGATGCGTACGTACGCAGTTATGTTGCAGATTAAAGCCACGCTATCAGCTTTTAAGTGTCCAGTGTGTGGCAATAAAACAAGAATACATTTCACTGTGTTATGTTTGAGGCTGATCTAAACAAAGAAAAAAGAACATGGTGGTTGAAACGTAGGGGTGTTTGTAAGGGGGGGGGGAGGGGGTCGAGGGGAGCAGCGTCTTCCCTTGAGAACTTAACCCACCGATATTGTAACCCATGCACCTGAGCTAGACGTCTTAGTCTTTTTATATTACTCTTACCTAATACCCACCTTACAATGCATTTTATTTAGCTGACCTGACAGATAGATTTTTTTCTCGCCCCTTTAATCCTGAATGACCCTCTAATGGGACCATCGACTAAATCGTCAAACATTTCTTTTCAACTCTTGCCTTTACACTTTTAGAAATTTTTCAATTTTCAAATCTCCGAGTCAAATCAGAACCTTGAAAGTATACCTCCAGCTTTCCAGCTAGTTCACAGCAAATTAAAGGAGTCTCGTCAAGAAAGAAGTATTCCACGTTATTTCCCTCGCAAAGAACAGGTCTTGGTGCGTAAAAATCACCACGCCCATGACACAAGAGCTTTTGAGGCCTAATAAAAGGCTCCTTTTCGATATTGAAAATATCAGTATGACCTGTTAGACGTCTCAGACAATAGACTTCGTTGCAGTTTTCCACAAACTGTTGCTAGAACTTGGAAAGCGACAGTTCGAACTTCTTTGGTTTTTTCGCAAAGAACTTTAGTTGATAGTTACTAACCCATTAAAAATCATGATTTAAGACTGGGCTAATTTGAAATAGTAACCACGTATTTCTCATTGGGCTGTTCGTGAACACTTGGAGTTACATCCGAAGCAAAATATGTCCAATGTGATAATTTGCTCAGTTCTCATTACCAGTCTTCTCACTGAAATTAAATGTTCAGTCCTAGAGATGAGTAGCCTGCAGAGCAGGCGTTCTTGTGGAGTTTGGGCGAAAATTAGGACTTTGGGCTTTCTGTTTCATTTTCCAGACCGCGCGTAAAATGGAGCCTCTCTCCCTCCCCCACACCTTCTAATTGTTCGCCTCGCTCCATTTTAAGCGCGGTCTGGAAAATAAAACAGAAAGCTTTAAGTCCTAATTTTCGCCCAAACTCCACAAGAACGCCTGCTCTGCAGGCTAGGAGATGAGAGAAAAACACATTTTTATTTTACTACAAAGTACGGTTGATAGAGGTATAATCCCTCAAATTCTGTTTACTAATGTTATCCTGACCATTGTAAGTAATGATAACTTAGTTATCTCTCGGTAGAAATCCCCATAGACTCTTACGAGTCAACGAGCATTACAGGTGCAAGTGACCAAAACATAATGTTGGTTGACAGAAATTTCCTTCTTTCCGGGCGGCTAATATAAACGGTCAAAAACTGTTCACCCGAACAACCTTGTTTAGGTCATCCAGGCATGCCAGATAGTCTATGACTGCAAATTGATCTATCTAAAATATCGTAAGATGTCTGAAGGTTTTATCAACAAAATCCCTGTATGAAATTGGTAAAATGTTTATTCTTATAATTGATATGATGATATGTTGAAAATATTAAATTTCGCTTTCCATGTTCAAAATGTCTCCGGCACTCCGATCGCAAACAAAAGTTACAACAATGCATTTCAAAAATCATCAATCACTTGTAATCCTCTTGGCAAAATGTTCAACATCCGCCGATCCGTTTACAATAGTCATACGAAGGGAAAGTTTATTGCTGTTTCTCTCGCGTTCCTCCTTTGAAAAGGCCAATCTTCCCAAAATTTTATTTCATTTGGTAACTGCTTTACTCCAAGCATAAAATTAGGACAGGCAACATCTTACACGCGCGCTTACCACGCATACACGTGTTTGTTCGCTTAAAATACACGTAAGTGTAATGAAAAACGATAGTCGATGTTCAGATTAGACAAGTTAATTCCTCGGTCCATCTCGATCATACCTCTTATCATTGTGAGTATAACGTTGTTGAGATTTCACTGATATTTCTGCTGACAGATTTATATAATGCCGTGCTTAAAGCGCCGATGTTCCTTGCTAGGGGTCAAAACGACTCCCGGGCTGCGATGAACGATGATCGTTTTCGTTCTAAATATACACTGACGTATTATTTTATTGTGTAACATTTGGCTTCCTCGTTTTCTGTCTTAAAAATCATCTGCTCTCTCTGCGTTGACGTCTTATTTGAGTTGGGCAAATTTTCACGTTAGTTCCCTTTTGCGTTTCTTCATACTAAAAAACATTTGGTCTAATTTCTGTGTTTCGTGTTCCTGGGAGGAAACAACAGACATTGCCTTTGCGTTCCATGAATGTTTCGTCCAATGTTGGATACAAGATTTTTTTTTGAACAACAAAAAAACAACAACACTAAAACAAAAGCATACTTGAAACTAACGGATTACCGCGTATTTTGTCGAGTTGAGTGTGATAATGTCGTTGTGGAAAACGGATTTCATCTACAGGGACTCATTTACACCTGGTTTAGAACAAGTTGACTGACAGAATGCGGCTGGTTTGGACAGTATCTGCGCCTACTGAGCCATCCATGATGAGGTTGTGACCTTAGACAATATGAGAGTGACTTTTAATGAAGAAAATACATTAACAACTTTTCGTTCGTCAATCCACTCCAAAATCCAAACCAAATGTCTTGGAAGAAGAACCTAAGATCTATCGATATGTAAGTGAAGAACTATTCTGAGATAAGCGTACGATTCGGACCGGCTTTGCTACGAATCGATAAATCTAGGGCCTGAAAAATTCTATCCGCCACCACTGACAATGTGCCGTCAATTAACTAATTAATGGCCAAGGGATATGTTCCAGCTGCTTGACAAGGATTTTTAACAACACGCATGATTGGGTCATCCAGGCACAAGGACATCAGTACAGACCGAATCACCAGACGACGTGAATCAGCCATCAGTTATAAGCAGCCAACTCGACCTTTTATCAGGTATTAGCTCCATGTTATGGACAGTTCGGGATTTCTGTCTCCTAAGGCGAACGCGTTCTCCATTGCACACCTGATCGACCGGGCACAGCTCGCAGACCTAGCGTTTTTGCGCGGCCAGACTCCCAACTACAACTGGAACTCGCAAGTTCTACTGAAAGATATGGAAGGTACAACCATAACGCGCGCGCTATCAATCAAATTCGCGCCCGGATAGAGCTTGGCACTACCTTCCCTGCGGTTTTCCTGAGAGTTGATGAGTGTCTGAGATTGTAATTTGTTTTGCAGAACGCCTGATGAACGTAGGTACGGGTAAGAGAGCACCAACAAGGAGAGTCAACCAACATATGATGTCGGAGGACTCTGACGAAGAAAGCGATACGGGGCACTCCCCAGTATCAAACTCTCCACCGCCTCAGTCTTCCTGCTCCCAAGCTGTTGTATCCAGGCCATTATGCAGCGGACTGGTCAACGCTCGAGTAGACTTGGAAATGAAGAGTTTATGGGAAGAATTTCACGGGCTCGGCACAGAGATGATAGTGACGAAGGCGGGAAGGTAACCAATCACGAATTTATTTGCATTATCCGTTTTGGGGGCATTCGGGCACTCTGGTTCCACTTCAATGTTGGACTTATCAAGGTTTAATCCAGGGTGAAGTAAACGGGCTCTCGTTTTGTTATCTCAATATTCTTAATAGATTCATGCCGGTTTTTCATATCGGATTTCAAATAGTGGTTTCCGTGATTTTAAAGAGAGAATCGTTTCTTTCAAACGAGACCGACCCAAGATCTATAGTTACGTTTCGGACGTGAACGCTGACTTAAGTGAAAATATAAAGAGAAAATTAATAAGCGTGCGCTTAAAATCACCTTTCAATCGGTAAGACTGAAAAGAGAAACAATGATTCCTAAGTCCCGGTTTACACTGCTCGATTTTCGGCCATCTTTCATCAGAAATGAGGTTTCATCAATAATACATGAGTAGGTTGTCCATTGTCGCGTTATTCCCTTAACAAGCGACGGTGTAAAACAGCCGTGAAAGATTGATTATGTTAAAAAGAGACTATATTGTAATTACACGAATTGAAACACCGAACGGAATAGGCAATAAGTTGCTCGTTGACGGATGTCGCTGGAAAATTAATCGAAAACAATACAGCAATAAAAACACTGTTTTGAAAAATGTAGGTGAAAATGGGATATGGATTATAAATCGGAAACATACGTCTCGAGGAGTTTTCGTCTTCTTTATTCACCAGTATCCATGTGGCGTGACTCATCAAAACGCGAAATTGTGATAAGTCTAAAAGAAAGTTGTGTTCTCCGCTTTTAAGATTTTACCATGCACGATTCATGTTCGGACAAGAGACAAATTTTACAATGCTACCTATAACAAGGCTTGTGCGTTCTCGCTGAATTGAATTAGCCATTACTACAGGAATGTACGAAGTACATCTGACCTCCTGTATTTGCAGATCATTCGAAATTCAATATGCTATACTGAACTTGTTCTAAAACTCGTAAGGATTCGTAGCAGCAGGGGAGTTACAGCAAAAAAAAAAAAAGCCATAGTGATCGAGACTTAAAACAACCATCAAAGTGGTTTGAGAAAGAAACCCTTGTATCCTTCGTGTTATTACATATTTCTAGTTCCTCCGGTCAAGTTTCTGTATCGTTCGAAGGGTGTGACGTTAGCGATAATCAAGTTACTTCTGAAAAGTTATATCCCAAAACTTTGAAATGAAAAGTTAGAGAATGCAAACCAGTTGTTTTCCTTTTTAATTGTTTAGCTTTGGAAAACTAATATGCCCTCATCAAACTTTATTTAAAAGAGTTTTCATTCTTTGCAACTTAAAACATTTCCTTTGAAATCACTTACACTGCCGATGTAGTTGTGTAATAAGTTGCCTAAAAGCTTCTCGTGCAAACTGGCGACTTTTTTTATTATATTTAAACCTTCCTCATGGATTGTACAGCATTTTTAAGCTACAGCATTCTCTGAAATTGGCATAATTTACACGAGTGAGTCAGTCAGAGATTTTTACCTTATGTTTTCTGTTACTTCGCTCTTGATGAATTTGATTGAAAATGACAATCGAATAATTATCGAAGGTCAGGCAAGGTCTTCCTCCGTCCTAAGAGAACTGTCATGGAAGAATTGAGACTTAATCTGTCCTGGAGGGTAAGTGAAACATAAAATCCAATTATCATAATTGGACAAAGGTGGCATTCTGTAAATTGCAATCTACAAAATTTTTTATCTAAAATTTAATTACAATTTTCCCACTTCAAACCTTTGCCATTCTTGCCAAGCTGGAGTATGACACGCACCGTGAAATATTGAGTAGTCGTTTCTAACTCATTTCGGAGCTGATAGATTGGGGTAAAACCCGTAGTTACCCGTCAGTTTTAATTCTTCCGCTAAAAAGGGTCCGACTGACTTGAAAGACAAGGAAAATAGGCTGAAAGAGATATCCATCAATAGAGCTGTCCCTCGATCACTCTTATAAATGCACCAGAACTTCTTTTGGCTCCTATCTTTATCCATTAAATCAAAAATCATCCAAGCATTTCGTCTCATGATATGCCCTTTAACGAAACTTTAGCGATTAGATTAGCCAATCAGAAAAAAGCAAAATATCACAAGGGTCCAAAAGGAGCTAGCGAGAATCCTAGGAAAAACAGACAAATTGCCCGAACTGCGTCAGACTGGTGCGAGTGATCAAGTCGTGATGGTGTCAGTATGCATGTTTCCATAACAATTCAGTAGTGAAGTAAAGCAAAACCAGTGCAATTCCAGGCTCCTGTCGATCCTTGATTTAAACTTGCTCATGTACCTCAAGTACAGAATATGAATCTCAGATCAATATCTTGCTCATTACAATCTGATTTAGGCCGGTTTTATTCCTTCTGAACTTCGTTGTAGTTTGTCCATAATACAAAGCTACTATCTCAATGTTTCTCAGTATCAAACTTAAATCTTTCCCCGTGTTGCGAAAACGTTTACAACGATCTTTGCATAGCTACCTTAAAGCCTCGGGCTTCCAAAAGTAGTTGTCAAGTTACGTCTCTTCGCTATTTCAATACATTATCCCACCTACAGGGTAAGATTTGAGAAACTTAACACTCATAACGTCAAATTCTCTTAACTAATCAAAGAGGAAATGAATAACTGCTGGAGGAATGAGTTACCGATCATATTATAGGAATGTAAGGGCTCAAACTGAGCGAATACTGCAACACCTCTGGTCTTTTTCAGGCGCATGTTTCCAACATTCCAAGTGCGCCTTCAAGGTTTAGACCCTTCGTCAAAGTACATTCTAATGATGGACTTGATACCAGTGGACGATAAACGTTATCGGTACGCGTTTCACAGTTCCAAGTGGCTGGTGGCAGGCAAAGCAGACGCCAGTGTACCCGGAAGAGTACACATTCACCCTGACTCACCCTGTACTGGACAGCAATGGATGAAACAGATCGTCTCTTTTGACAAACTTAAACTCACCAACAACCTCATGGATGACAACGGCCATGTAAGCCTTAAGACACTTTATATCTGTAGAGTTGAGCATATTGATCGACGATAACATTACTATAACTGAAAATATGTAGACTGTTTTTATGTTTAGAATTTCCTTAACTTATTGTTTTGAACCTGCTATCCTGTTTCACTGAAAAGATTGTTTGTATAAGTTCTTTGTCCAAAGACTTTGAAAATCCACAAAGGCGCGAGTTTTCGTCTCTATATTTTGGTTTCTGATTGGTTAGAAAAATCTATACATGCCAACATTTCGGCGTACTCAATGGTTCAGAGTTGAAATTAAACCTGCATCATTTCTGGTACAATTCAGAGTGAATAAGAGAGAGAAATTCGCACCAGCCCGTGAAAAATTTACTCGTGCTAAATTATTCGACCATTTTGCTCTCGAAATGATTTGACTATTTTTTCGAAAACGCGGCTTTTGCACAACTGTGTCACTTGACCTTGTCAGTCATCAAAAAGTGGTTGTGGTGCGAAATCGATATCAGAAATAGACAGTGCGTGATAAAATTCATGTACATGCCAAGTTTGAATATTTAGCCTCCTCCTTGCCGCCATAGTCTGACGACACAAGCTGGCTACGTACGTATAATGCAAATCTAATTTTCTTATGATATTTGAACGCAATCAGTGATAAAGAAATCAGATGACTTTAGTAGGTGACACAGAATTTCGACGTTTAAAGCCACCTTGAAGACGGCTGGGAATATTCTCCACCTGATCCTAAACGTTTTTGCGTCTAAGATTTCAGGAAATGCGTTATTATTTGTTCGCATTAGGTTAACTATATTAAACGTTATGCTTAATTCAATTTTGTAATCTTGTTGAGCTGCTCTGAATGCCGAAAGACTTTATCTTGTGATTTTAACTGAAACGGTGTCGCATTTTCATTACTCTCAGACATTTCGTTATGTTGGCGAATGTTTGTTGAAGCAAGCACATGAATGGCTGGAAACTACAAATGCAGCCGACGAATCTCGTTTGTGTGGATCAAACTTTGTGTGGCTAAAACCTGTCTTCACGATCAAAAAAAATCTTTTTCAGCAGTTAGGCGGGTTAACTGTAAAAAGCCCTTCCATAGACCATTATCCGTCATCTCATTGACAGAGCGATGAATGAGTCAGTGCTAAAGCGAAAATTTGGGATAATTTGGTTGTCGAAAGATTTCGGCGTTTTCCAAGCTAAACCGCTTTTACGATCCGGATAGACAGTGAATCTCACCTCCGGTTCCGTCTTTTATATAATCAAGTGTAGTAATCTAGGATTATGTCTCCCAAGAAGAACTCAATAATCGAAAAAAAAAAAGGTTTTAAAATCATATTTGTTAATGATCACAGCATTGGCTTTTTTTCACCATATTTGGCTGTTTTCGCGGAAGCCGGGGACTGCGGTGACTAAATATCCTTATTTCAAGTGTAGGGTTTACATGCCGGATATTGCTTGAATATATTCCATATAATCTTGGTTTAAGCACGCCAATTCCCCCCTTAAATGTTTCCCTTGGCCATTTTCCTTCGCAAATTTAATTCACCTAAAAAGTCAAGAGGTATAAATTTTTGTTTATATGGGTTTTTTGTGCTGCATTCAAATAACATACAAGTAACGTTGGTTCGTCATTGTCACCTTCTCAAAGGAGACAAAGTTTTAATCGAAACATAGTACGTTTACTCTGTGTGTATGATATTAAGCACTGACCAACAGAGTCGTTCTGAACACGATGCAAAAGTTTTAGCAAGGTTCAAACTATGAAATTATAGAAAGTATCTCGTTAAAATAATTGCTGAACATTTATGTTACCTGTGAATATGAACACATTTGTTCTTCAGGGATAATCCAATTTGTTTTTCCAAAAAAATTCTCCTAAATGACTCCTAAAGGGAGATTTAGAGTAAGTGGTTAAATTTCCCAGAATAGAAAACGGAAATTAGAACACTTTTTAAATAATCATGAAAGAACCTCCCTGGGTGCTGCTCCCACGACCTCCAGCTCTAGGACACGGCTGAGCAACATCACAGCGACCACCTTCCTTACTCAGTCTCTCACCGCCAAGATCTCAACATCAATTCTCCTCACTTTTTTCTTTGTATTCCTTATGATTTCACTTATGAGAATTTGATGCTAAGTCGAGCGACATCTTACTGTTGATATTTTCTTTCTTCTCATTACTTGTCTGGTTGATCTTGTATTGATTTTGTGGGCAGAAATTCGTTGTAAGTCACTCTTGGAAATGAAAGGGTTAGGGATTTGATTGCTCGACAAAATTGCAGAAATGAGTGCCTGTCTTAACCAAAGGTAGTTTTAATTACTTAAGTGATCGTAAAAATGCTTTTGAAATTCTTCAAAATTGTGCTATTTTTTTTTTTAACTCAGACGTTTTGACTCTGGGCCAATTAGTTATAAAAACTGAGTTACAAACACTGAACAATAAATGAAATTTAGTCGCAGGCATAAGTCAGTTTCCCACTATTATTTTTCGTTCGATTATTCCCGAGCAGCTTGACAATGCCAATGTGTTTTGCGGGGCTTTCTTTATCAATTTACATGTTCTTATGCGTTGTCTTTTAATCAATCTCGTTCCTGGGGTCCGTTTTCTCGCATTTGAAGGGAAAGTACCGCGCATTTGCAACAAGCTGTACGTTTGCCTGCGCTTCACGCAAGTTACGCGTGTTCTCGCGTCCGGTTCCAAAAGCCCCTGTTTTCAATTAGAATTCTGATTGGTTTGGTTTGTACGGTTCATAACGCAGATCATCCTTAACTCAATGCACAAGTACCAGCCCAGATTTCACGTGATTCTTGACGAATCAGAGAGGGGAAATTCCAGGACAAGTCTCCACGAAACCAACAAGGACCATCTCCGAACGTTTATTTTCCCTGAGACACAGTTCATGGCCGTCACAGCTTATCAGAATCACATGGTAAGTTTTTGCTTTATTACTGAATCGTGCGAGGCGTCGTACCACCTTACACCAGATATGCTTAATTAAGGGACATTTAGCAGCTGAAGTGATTATTATTTAAAGTTCTGTAGTTTATCCATAGCAACATATAGTTTTTCCATGTTGTTAACCTGGTACACATGCCTATCATGTTTCGATCAGAACAACAACATACTGACTCGAGTCGAGATCTAGCTTTGTTTACGTGGCAACAGTGAGCCATTAGGCTCGAAGTTACCTTCTGGCGTTAACGTCTTGTGGCAGTACCCTTAATTCATCAGTGACTTTTAACTGGTATGCAGGCCCACTTTTCGCGTAGTTTAACTACACCAGTGACGAATGCTTTTTTGGCATGGTCTAAGTTCTGAAGGAACTGTTCAAGTAGATCAGATTTTTACAACCTTTATATCCAGTGGTAATTATAATACATTCCCACGACAACATAACTTTGATGGTGAACAATCGAACAGAAAAAATTTTGAAATAGCGAGAGTCAGGGGGGTTCTAAATATGTCGTTTAGGATATTTTTTTAGTTACAGACCTTTTCGTGTTTTTCAAGTTTTAAAATTGCAACTTCAACTGATATTTCAGATTACCAATTTGCTAGATTTTGATTGTAATCTTGCAATCGGTTTATGAAAGGTTGGGAAGTTTTGCAAAAATCAAAACAACCTCGGAAATTTTTAATTTGGCTTTTAATGAATAAACATTAAGGGTATTTGAAGAATCCATTGAGATTTAATTGCAGTCTTAGCTACTCCCGCTTTACTCAAACACTTCAACAGACTGAAGGACTTGGTCATAAAAAGTACACGAAACGTAGACATGGTTTTTTCTAAATTCAGATAATAGGCTGAGAACAGATGTTTGCCTTTTGCTACATAAGGTGTCTTCCGATCCCCATAATAACTTAATGTCGAAGATACTGTTTAAAGAACTTTGATCCTTGAAGAAACACAATCTCTTGACCCTTTGTGTAAATCCAAACAAACGTGTTTTTTTACATGTATTTCAATTAAAACCCACCGCAACCAGAAGTATTCTATTGGAATAATCGGATTTCAAGAGGATTTTGTCATATTGGATTAGCACCGCAAGATAATTAAGTTGGCCTATTTATCGCCTGAAGGCACAAATCTCACTGTGAGAACGTCAGCTGCTGATGTCAATAGACTATCATTCTTGTTGTAATCCCTGAATAGTGCCGACTGCTGTGACAGCTTCACAGCGCAATTACATTCCTTCAAAACGTATACCAAAGTTAGTCATATCTGCCGCAAGGGACAGTTCGTGTCTAGTCTTAATTTCGCTTTGACTTTAGTTGGCCATCACCCTTTACATTCGTTTCGCCTAAGGTTAGTCCTCTTACATTTTTTATGCTTTCTTCGATAACAAGAGCATAATTCTTTGCTTGACGTTGAACATTGCAAAGTGAGAAACTTCCTCAGCTAGTTTATTCCAAACGTCTTTCCCCTGTTTTTCTCAAAGTACAAGTACGTTCCTCAAGATGTTTTTATGGTGGCCACAAAAGGTATTAGAACAAGATTGATGGATATCTCCAATTGAAATGTGAATGGGCAAGACAGAGAGAAGTCTGTTTTTCTGTAATTCTATCTCAATCTAACATTCCCCAGCATTTCCATACAATTGACCTTGAAAAGGAAATACACACACTGTTTTGCTGTTTCGTGAGAGGTCAACATACCAAACATGGCTCTATTCACAACACCCTTTAAGAGCTCTTAACCACGGCCTAATTAGATTATATCGTATCACAAACCTTTATCGGAGTAATGCTTCTTAATTTCGCAAAGTTTGAGTACCTACTTTTGACTTAAGTGTAAGCTAGTGACTCATAAAGATATAAACATAAATAATCCTATAGGACTAGTAAAACCATTACTGAGACAAAAAGAAGGTCAATGTTCCTTCGGCTGATAGCCATTGGTTATCCAATACGTACTTAACTTTACGCAAGACGCGTCCATTTATTAAAAGACGGTATTTTAATTGATGATGAGGTTATAAAAACACATTTGGTTTTAATATTACATTCCTAGAGCTTGTGCCTGTCTTAGACATAAATTATACTCATGGATTAGTTTTTAGGAAGAAGTGACTCACGCAAAGGACTTCTGAACATGCTTAGTTCAAACCGAAATGACGAGCGTTGGCCTTAGAAACCATTCTTACATCACTCACTCACAAATTTATGTTCAATTAAAGTGCAAAAACGGTGCACAGCTGAATTGACGAAAAACGAATAACAGCTTCTAAGAGGCAACCATTTACACATGGTTTTAAAGAGGAGAACTTCTGAAATCGGTACAACTTCAGTGTCAACAATTTATGATTATGCTACTTTTTCATACTTAGTTGCGGCAGATGATAATTCCTTTGTCAGGCTTTTGACTAGTACAGAGTCCTTTTGGCAACTATTTTTCATTGTCAAATTTCCCAAGTGTCATTAGATGAGTAAGATACCTTTCCTGTTTGGCAAACACTGACTTCAATTAAGTGAGGTGATTAAATCAATTAACAATGAAGTGTAAGCTACAGAAGTCACGCCTCTGATTTCGTGACTGATCACAGAGACCAGTTAACTGTCGAAACTCTAAATTATTTGCATTACTTGCCTTGTTGGATGGGTTGAGAACGCAGGGCTGCAAGGCACGTTTTCATCCACAAATGCATCAGCAAAAAAAAGAATTGTTGTATACATAAGCAAAGAAAACTTGTCCAGAACTATTTTTTCTCGAAGACCTGTTGGATTAGAATAACGCTTAAAACCTCTCCAATTTCTTTCAGAATGCTCCTTGTCGGGTCAACTACACACACAAATTTCTTCCTTCGTTTATTCCTGCTCAAGATGTGGCAGCCATAATCAATACCATCTACGCTACCAAGAAAAACTCTTCAAGTTAAATTTTTTCAGGGAGACCTCGCCACAGCACAAATGCTTATCAAATCCAAAGAAAATTTTAACTTAAATTAAGCAAGCTTCTACTTTGTACCCTTAGGTGGTTGCCCCTTTTCGAATATATAGTAAATCTTAATAATACTTAACATGCGGATGACTTTTTTGGTTCAGATAACACAGCTGAAGATAGCCAGCAATCCATTTGCCAAAGGATTCCGAGATTGTGACCCCGATGACTGGTGAGTACTTTTATCAATTTTTGTTTAAAGTTTTGTCAGATTTATGAAAACCCTTTTGTTTTCTTAGGCCTATGAATTCACCCTTTCCATAACACCATTTCTTGTCAGGCTAAACATTCCAAAAGCCAAAGTAAAGAGTTTTACTCGGCCATTGAGCAATCCTGCCCTCTTATCTCTTTTTAAAATATTCCCCACAGCCAAACTCTTCTCTTTCAATCTCGGTGTGACCAGACGCTAAAACATGTTTAAAATAATACACTCAAATAACTGCAACGCTCTTTCCAACTGAGCGTCGAAAATAATCCATGATTGCATCGCTTATGCTTTGGAACGCTCTGAGATTGGTTTAAAATAAAACTCCTACCACTCTCTCAGCCAATCAAATGCAAAACTAAAAGCAATGGTTTCTTAATCACTTGTCATGCATCAACATCGGCATCTTCTGCGCTTCAAGACTCCTTGTAATTTTTACTTGATTCTGATTGGCTTTTAGTTGCAATTGCAAGTGTGTCATTGTCCCAGTAAATTCACGAATTGAACTGAAGATAATCCCTCAAAGAAAACTATTCCAACATAATATCTTTTCCATACTATATTGCAGTGTTATGGAAGTCATGAAACAACTTGACCAGGGAGAAATCTCTGCGACAGCTCGTGCCAGGTTACATGGAGACATGGTAACTCAAAGAAATGAACCTCAAGTACCTCGGCCTCAGGCTCCCCGACCAATGCCTCCTGTTACCGCAGTAAATCCAGTCTTTACCTATCCAGGTGAGATAATATTGAAATTTGCTGGCGTAAATTACCTGTGCAAGGTCAATCATGTTCCATAGTCTTATCAGAGATTAAAGTATCGTAATCCACAATTTGTTTGTCCCAGGTCCGTATGAAAATAGAGGAACTCCGCTGACGCACATACCCAGAAATCTCCCCAACTCTTCGCCACCCGGTGGATATCTACCTATGATGCCGCAAATGATGGGCCACGTGGGCCCTAACCCGATGTCGCCGACATCTCCGTCGAGCCCTGGATATGGCCAGCGCACATACCAATCGTTACGCATGCATAGGACATTGCCATATCCCACAAGGCAAAGCAGGTCGTCTTCAAGTGACGAAAGTTGCCCATAGAAACTCACCCAAAGTTTTATGCATTGAATTAAAGCCGGACCTCACGAAAACAACTTGCAGTAATAATGATACTTTCTCAAGCGAATGTAAAAGGCTGAAAGGTGATGCTTGTACATAAACAAACACAATTTGAAATATACTGCATATTGCTTCTATTTTCAAATATCACCTTTTTTGTTTGTTTCCTCAATTCGAAGTAGAGAGGAGCATAGAGGCCACCATACTCGTTTATTAGGAAATGACGATTTGCTTCGCTTCTGCTTCTCGTCCTAATCAATAATTAATAATACTAATCAATAATAATCCTAATAATTCTGTGCAGTGGAGATTCGCATCTGAATCCACTACTTGCTACTTCTTTGAGTAACCAAATTGGATATCTACGTTCTGCGTCTGCGCACTTAAAAACATTAACGAGCCCTCTATACGCAATGAGAAACAAACTTAAGAAGAGCCTGGTAAGTCGAAATTCCATTATTCGATTTAATCTAGAGCTGCTCTCGACATATAATACAGTACAGTGGTTCTTACAAAAATGTAGGGATGCGTGCACGTCAAGATTTGTACAACTAAAGCAATCATTTCAAATGAAACTGGTTCCGTTTACTCAATGAGTTGAAGAGATTCCGTTACCATTGGACTCCAGAAAAAGCAGCAACAATTGTTAGTAGTCAGTAAGATCCCAGAAATATAAAATTAGCTTCACTTATTTCAACTTTCATCTAGTCAATCTCAAAAAGTATAATGTTCTAAACTGAAATTTCGACTCCACCACGTGCACTGTCTCCGGTTAGTGCTTGATGTAAGCTTGATTCCAATGTGTATTGTTCTTAACACGTGTTTTGCTTCAATTTCTTGATAATTTGCATAATCTGTATATTTGTTTCAAACAAAAAAAACAAACAAACAAACAGTCATGCAAGAGTCAATTAGCTAAGTTATATTTTAGCTTCGGAGATTATAAAGTTCAGAGTACTACTTCCTATTTGTCTTCTTCGATGAAACTTTGACCACTTAATATACGTTCAGCGTTCAACTTGAATCGAACCAGTGAAACAACCCCTCAGTAATAATGAACTTGCACATTAGAGACACAGGCTTCAAGCGCTTTCCCAGCCTGCTCACTTTTGACTGAGGTATTGTGGTATTTTCCGCAGTATTCCTTCAATTAAGCAAAGGAGTAAGCCGAGCAGTTTTAGCAAGTCATGGTATAGACTCTTTAAAGTGTTGCACATGAAGTGCGCACATGCACACGCCCTGATGGTTGGTTGTTCATGTCACGTTAAGCTGGCTTTCGTCTCTGATCTCTTTCAACCTTGTCATAAGTTTCTTAGTATTCTCCAATCGTTCCTCTTCGTCCATTCTGTCCCAGTCGTCCGTGTGAAGTTCCCTACCGAACAACTCTCTTTCTGCCTCTTTGTATTGATCACTGTTTGTCTGCAAAGCGTCTTTCGTGATCACGTTAAGATTTGTCCGCTGTTCCTCTGAACCGTGGGCCACTGCAAATAAAAATCATACTTCTGGCGAGAGGATTCGTTTCAGATCTTGAACTGTAAAATTAGAGTTGACGCCCGCGGGTACGCCTAAGATCCCCGGAGTACGCGCAGATCCCGAGAATGATTGGTTAAAGCCACTAACTTATGGAAAAGGGCGTCAAAATAGAAGAAATCCCGTTGAAAAAGTAACTGGTACCACACTGAGATTATTTTCATATGATTCAGTAACCATTTTTTCCATCAAGAAACTGCAATGGGTTGAGTTATACCAGGATCTTTTATTGGAATAATCTCTTACCCAAATCTAGGCTGTGAAGTGTCGCTCCTAGCAACGACCGAACCAGGTCCTCGACCTGTTGACGCGATGCTCACGTAGGATGAGGACTAGGATCTGGCTCCTTCACTGAAGGAATACCAGAAGAGCGTAAACCAGGGCTTGTGACCGGAGTAACTCGTTTTAGTCTCGCAAGTTCGACTTGCAACCGCGCAATCTCTTCATCCTTCTGTTTTTCCACAGACGCTCGCTCTTTTCTTTCGATTTTGAGCTCTTTCTCGAGCGCTACGATTCCTTCCTTTTCACGTTGTTTCTCTGCTCGAAATTCTTGCCTCATCTCCTCTTCACGGAGTCGCATCTGTTCCTCTTGTTCCCGCTTCTTCCTGGCTTCCTCTCGCCTTTGCTCCATGAGTTGCCTCCGTCTTTCCAATTCTCTTTCCTCGCGAGTCTGCCGCCGGTCTTCGACTCGGTGACGAGAGGGAGGCTGTCCCCGGAACCACCCAGACCAAGGCTGCGCAAACCTACCAACCGCTATCAGTTATGACAGAGATAAGACAACAGATATACGTCAAGCATATTTATGCACACAAATGCTGAAAATTACTACTTCCTAAAGCACACATTTTGGAATGAATTACATCTCTTCCTCAAGGTCACAAGGAGGCTGTTTACGGTGCGCGGTAAAAAGATGAGGGGAATCAGGGCCTTACTGCTGCCCACAAACCCTTGGCGAGCACCTGTTCGCAAACCTCTTTTTTTCTCTCTTTTAAGCACGGAAAGCGGAAGACGAGAAAAACATTACCGAAAACATTTTAAATTGCGCTAATCCCTAAGGCAAAAAATAGATGCAGCTGGAAAGGTTACCATTGCAGCAACTCATAGAGCATCTTGGAGGCGCGAAATTCAAAGCTTTACCACCTACTCAATTACTTCTTCATATACTCATAAACAATTCATAATTCCTTCTTCCCAAGCTAAGTATGAACTTTGATCCCCAAATGGGATCCCTATCTGAATCTAGGCATTTTGAAATGAGAACTTTGCTACTTTTTTTCTGCTGGAACTATCACGTTATCAGCTGTGGTGATTTACCAAGACCAAGAGGGGATAAAAGGTGAATTAAGTAATCAACATGAGGGAAGGAGAACATAGAAATTGATCCCATACTTGCTACTGGATCCACTAGCGGTAAATCAGAACCATGAACCTCTTCGGTAACCAACTTCTGCCAATCTGCCATGAAGTGGCGGTCAATCTACAAACAGACACAGTACCATGTACATGTAGGGTAACATGACCTTTACTTACAATCTTGGAAGGTAAAGGGAGTAGTAATCCAAAATGATTTCAGTAAAAGAGAGGTTTCTATTTTTAAAAAGGGGAAAATACTGCACCTACCACTCTTTGAAAGTCTCTTGTAGTAAGTTTTTTGCTCTCGGTTAACAAAACATCCTCAATCTCTTTGGTCTAATTAGACAAAAAGAAAGAACATCTCATTAGCAATATTCTGGTATTCATTTGACCTTGAATAAAAACCATGACATATAAGGTACTGAGTCTTACATTTCTGCATACTAAAATTTCATCTCTCAACAACATCAGCATGGCAGCAGAGAATGTACGAATACAGTTGAAGGAAGGAAGTTTCATACTCATGATGTACTGGTCCCAAATGTAGCAAACCACATCAAGGGAAAGAAAACCTAAAATATACAAGTATAACAACGTGATTTTTCCAAGGGATAAAAAAATTCCAAAAAAAAAAAGAAACAGGTTTAAAATGTTAAGTTTCCTGCGCCTTGTGACTGATTACTTCCCAAGTTTATTGCTCCTTCCATAGGAAGAGGTGCTTGGAAGTATAGTTACACCATCTGATGGGAAACTTGTCTATCACATGTCACTCCTGGGGCAGAAAGAGGTCATGTGACAGTTTAGTGTCCCTGGTTTGTGAATGCCCACAATCAAGGATTTCAATTATTGAGGTCAGTTCTATAACCAAATCTTACCAACAAACATACACCTAGCATATGACCGCATGATTGCTGCCAGACTTTCTGCCAACTGAGCTGTTTGGTCTGTTCGAAAAGAATTACAATGTGTTTAGACACTATAAACAAGAGTCAGTCTAAACACGTCAAAAAGCAACACTAAAAATGTTAACATCAAAAATTGAGTCAACTGAGATAGTCACAGAAGGTCAAACTCCCTCTTGGAGAGAAAGGTACAGGTTGAAAACTCATGATTTGCTGAAATATTATGTACATGTACATGATGTAAATTAGAAGGAGATAAGGGAATGCCACAAATTTTTCACACAGGCTGATATTTGGGTATTCATCTCTACTGACACTTGCCTTACCATGTGAAAATGTTCTTTGTAGACTTGATGCAAGCTGCTGATCTTTGGAATGCAAGGCATCAGCCATTGTACTACCATAATGTTTTTGAGCTAACAGGAATTCCTATGGAAAACAGTGAACATGACTTACGTACATTGTACAGAAATATCAGTGCCTAAACATACAGATATCTCAGAGCTGTAAAGCTGCCAAGGAATTCTTGCTTTCTCAAGCAGCAAAATAACCTTAGATTTAGAGTCCTTCATCAAAGATGGTCTTGACTCCAAGAAGGTAAAGTAAACTTCCACAAAGCTTGCAATTTCCTCAGCATTTATCTCTTGAACATGATTGTCTGCAACCATTACTCTCACAAAAGGTATGGCCAACAAGAAGTCTGTGTCAACTATTGTTGATGTGCTACTGATATTCACGTCCCGGTAGGATATTGAAGTTTTCAT